TTAGACCGATATCAAACAGACCTTCATGCTTTTTAAGAACACAGTTTCTGCTACAACATGGCTGGGAGTCAGAACAACTTCTGGGGACAGCATGACCTGAACAGGTACCAAAACACCACCAAACACCAAAAGAAACAAATTATTACGATATAGTGTGACGATACAAACATTCCTTTAACTTTTATATAATCATACAATATCAGGAGTATTATTCTGTGGCAATTCATATTAAATACACACAAAGTTATTATTTTGTCATGTTTGATGTGTGAACAAATCCCAATTAAAAATCAACAACTTCAACAATCTACACCCCAAAACAAATCTTTAAGCTGTTATAATGTTATAAAGACCATCTAGCATTCAGTCACATTCACTTTAAATTATTCCCAGAGTTAATTCTCTAATTATGTCTATCATATTCTTTGAAAATCTCAATTTAATCTAAATAGCCCAAAATCCCAAATTTAACTACAAATGTATCAATCTTGACATTGTATAAGACTGAAAAGAAAACATTTAACAGGAAAAAAGCTGAGCAAAATTAACAGTGGAGGGATCTCTCTTCCAAGACAGACACGCAGTATTTGTTGTTCATACAGAGTAGACAGTATTACTATAGTTAATAGATAAAAGATAATATAGAGAAACAGGATGACAATATTAGGTAAACAAAAGGCAAACATACTTCCACTGCTGTTACATGATGCAAATATACGAAGGAGATCAGAACATATGTTCTGTTAAACCTTATGTCATGCATGTTATTTCACATATAATGACTTACTCATGTCAGGTTATGTGCAAGAATGATTTACACACATGTACTCGTGTGTATGGGTTTCTCAACCTCTGTTGCTTTGCAGAATGTGCTTTGGCCTGAGTGCTGACATGGAACACAACGCGACAGAGCATCAACAACAGCAAATGGCCAAGGAATTTAACTGTGAGTCTTTTACGTATTATTTTTTTTACATATGAGTAAATAAAACAAAGAAAACTACAGATTTAAAACTGCTTACAATGAACTTGGATGTATATGACACTGATGGTTTCAATTAGACAGAATCTCAATTAATATTTCTAATGAATATTAAAATATTAACATCATGGTTTTTGAAAATGAATACCGACTATAACCCGTTTTGGACTGGTGTGAGTTATATTAGAATTAACTGTTAAACCTTGAGATAGAAAGGAACGTGTTCAAGACACACAGTACACACGATTATGAATTATCTGTGAAATTAAATTAAAGTAAACCAAACAAAACAATGATAACTTTCTACAGCAACCAACTTTTTTACTATGTCTGATCTTTTTGAATTGTAAAACCACGTAAAGGGTTTGACAAGTGCTATAAATGTTTTGCTATACTAAATCATTCATTTTCTTAATGTTGTCATAATTTTTAAATTAGGTTAATTTGTACAATTGTGCCAGTAGAAATATACATTCTTAAGTTTGGCTTGGCACACTAGAGTTTAAACCCTGTTTGACTAATAAAACAGCGTGTAGACAGGGAGGTTTAGGTGAGTTTGTCATCACTGGACTGAGCTGTGTAGCAGAGGAGAGAGCCGGGTAAACTATTGCTCCCTGATCACCAGCTGTTCTTGCAGTCTGGGGCACGTCGGATGTTTCCACAGAGAAGGACATGGGAAGCTCCGTTAAGATTACGGCCTGCCCCGCAGATAATGGCGATTCCTGTGTTAATCAGGGTGTTGTGGCTGATGTTTGACGAAGAGGGTGATAGGTTAAGCCGTTGTTTTCAACATGTTTTTACTCCCGTTTCCTGTACGATACCTTCAGCAAAACAGGAGGGTTTTTTCTAAGCAAAGTGGGCAGCCCACTCCCCTTGTATGTTTTCCCTCCTACACCATCACTACACTCAAGTTAAGAGTTTTTTCTCATTGCAAGTTGTTTTCCATGTTTCTTCCTCTGAGAATAGTATCTGCACTGAAGGAAACAACAGTGATAGCAAAACCCTGTATAACAAAGCAGTGGTATCTTGGTGTATAATACAATTCATGAATTATATTTAATAAACAATTGTTTCTCCCTTTCCCAGGCAACATCTCACAACCTCCTTTCTACTCTGATAATTACCGCCTAATATCTGACAACATAGTGCGGCCCAACGAGGGAGACCAGGTGGTCCCTTCCTCCCAGAGGTGGACAGTGTTTGGGGGCCACCAGAGAGAAGTCAAACCCCTACCGCCTCTGCCTGACCCGGAGGAGCTCATGTCTGATGAGGCAGCTGATAGCGAGGTGGAGTTTTTTACCAGTGACCGACGGCGCCTTTTGCCCAGAAGCTGCCCCAAGGCCATGTGCAGGGGCATGAACAGAGACTTTGGCCAAGTAAATTACGCCTACCAGGAGAGCTCGTTGCAGGCTGGTGGTGCTGGGGTTGGCTCCATGGCTTTCTCTTGGCCAGCCAGAGAGGACAGACCGGGTAGAGGAAGCGGGTTTGGAGTCAACATGTGGGCGCTAGCTCTCCAGAGAGAAGACCACCAGCACGAGGTTTCTGATACTTTGTGTACCAAACAGTCAGACCAACACCAGGCATCCAGACTCCGCTTCTCCTGTGCAGGCCCTGCTTTCCAGCCTGTCCACAGCAGCAGTACAACCTGCCCGACTGACAAGCCACTAATCCCTCCTCGTATCCCGATCCCGCCGAAACCTGCTGCTCTCTCAAAGACTACGAGCGCCAGTGAGGAAGACAAGCCTCCCAAAATTCCTCCAAGGGTCCCCTTAGTCCCGCCCTGCCCACCACGTACCCCGAGCCCCAAAAGCCTTCCAATTTACATCAATGGTGTGATGCCTGCCACACAGAGTTTTGCTGCTAACCCCAAATATGTGAGTAAGGCATTACAGAGACAGCAGAGTGAAAGGGCGCCACCTGCAGCTCAGTTTTCTCCCTGCATTGTTCCCATTTTGAAGGATGGCAGACAGGCTAGTGCTACACACTACATCCTCCTGCCGCCGGGTCGACCGGCGTACTCTGACAGACGAGAAAGACTCCTGAGTGAACCGGTGAGGACGGGAACCAGCAGCGTCTGGCAGAAGAGATAGAAACTCTGGTTTACGTTCCTGTCTGAAACTTGATGAGTACAAAACTGCGACTGACATCGTTAATAATCACGTGATACACTATTGTTCAGAGTGAAAACATCTACATGCTACATTCACATGTCTAATGTCATATTGGTGTTATTTTTCAATGACTAATGTATTTCAAGATCACTTATGTCACACAACACTGTGAGGTTTTTGTCTGTTTTTAACTGAACATTTTACCGGTCAGTATTTATAGCGACGTCTCCTCTAGTTCAACCTGGAACACATCCAGTTTCACTAAAAGTGGAGAAATATTTACCTCCTATAACACTTTTCATGTTTGGTTTTTCAGTTTTCTCACTGGGAAAATGTGTCATTGCCCATTATTTTTTATGTCTGACAGCCATGTGCTCATATCACTAAAACAAATGGAGCTAATACTATATGTCTTACAAGCGAGCAAATAATTACTGTACGTACAAGCTGGGCTTGTACCAAACTGTTCCTCCCATGTACAATATTTTTTATGACAATGCTGCTTGAAAAAAAAAGTATAATGTATTGAGAGATATAATATTTTGCCGAATAATTCTCACATTAAGATTTATGGTAAATATTAGAATGACACAACACAACCAAAACATGCTTTGAACTACAGTGATATCAAACACTTTGTGCTTTTTGCTGGCTCTTTGTGCAAGCAGGCTTCATTTCTTACTATCAGAAAGCTGAACCAAGCTACGTCCTACCTGCAAAACACTCAAACATTCTCATTTTAAACGTTGACTCTTGAATCATATTCTATGCTTGTGTGGACAAAGTTTAATTTATTTAAAAGAAATTTCTGCGAGCAGAATATAAACAAAAGAGCATGCCCACCACCTGAATTCAGAACACAGTACTAAAACCTGCTGTGACCCTTGAATTGACTGACAGGTCTTTTAATACATATGAAGAACACTAGCCAACAAGTCATTAATGTTTTTTTATGGTGTTAAAGGTTTTACATCAGTAATGTTTGTGTAAACAAGAGTGAAAGAGGCCTTTATTTTTAATGATTGGTCGTTGACAAACTTTTAAATCACTATGATGAATTTTTTAAATTATGTATGTGTATTGAGCTCAAATAATGTATATATATATGGTTTAAAAAGTACAGATTGGGCCTTTTTCTTTTTTGTGTGTGGGCATGAAAATCTTGTTACGTTTACATGTTGAGCTGCAGACCCACATTTACAACCTTTGTTACATCAACAGGTTGGAAGTTCTCAGATTCTGTGTTGACCCAAGCAAAGACTGTTTCTAAGTTCATAATGTTTGTGTCAAAAGTAAATCATTGTAAAATTGTGTTTTTAATCTATTTATAGAAATAAAATAACTTATTCATTCTATGATAGGCTCAATGTCTTTTTCTTTAACATTGGATCCACATTAAACAACAGCTTTAAGAAAAGTTTTGGTGATTGGACAAATTTGCAAGGTTGAATTTTGTGTTAATTGTTGTGATTGCAACATCCTGGAGAGACAAATAGATAAATAATATTTGATTTGGAAGAAGCAGAGACTGTTGAGGTGCAAAAAATGGATTGACTGTAAATGTGTCTTACTGCAATGAGATTAAACATATTGTAATGCAAGGATTTACTGTTAGTGTTTTTCTTCTATTTTATTGGGATATATATATATATATATCTCGATGCGATGAGCCCATTTCTGTAAAATGTTTTACATTAAGGAAGTACAAACATCATCTTTACTTAAAATAATCCCTCACCTAGATTACTTATGAGATAAATAAGCAGTTAATATATCTTTAAATATACCAATAAATTGAAAATTTTATATTTTTTATATTTTGACCATAGACAAAGCATTTTAGGACTTTTTTTTTTTTTACATTTTGCACTCAGAGCTTAGGAAAATAAAAAAAACCCCACTTAAACTGGAGTTCTGAGACAAATTTTAATGGAGCAACAACTGATGGTGGATCAAATCTGCTCACAAATGTATGAGCTGCAGGATGACTGATGTACAGAAAATAAAGGATGATGATCATTTTCCTTCGCCAAGCATGTGATGGAGACAGTGGGACAGTGCCTTTGGAGGGAGAGTCTTCAGAAACCATTTGTCCATGCTATCATATCTTCTCACACTTAATATTCACAGTTCATGTGCCATAAACCCAAATGGCATTTGGGTATCATGGTGACTGAGCAAGCTAAAAGTACAAACCATACAACTAAAGTGTCGTACCAAATCATGCTCACGTGTATCGCACAACTTCTGTCTCTCTTTTCTCTGACCTCCACATTTATTATCACTCTCCATTAGAACAGTCTGATGAATCAGAAATGTCACAAAAGTAATCTTGGAAAAAACTAACATTGTTTAAGTATCAAACTTTCACATGTGTAGGAATTTCCAAACTCCACAGTTGATTAAATCCATCTGTTTTCATTCATTTGTAATCAGTTATGTGTTAAACATCTAATCATAATGACAGTGACAATGACAAAAACTGTTAATTCTACTATGAAGTAATTCCTTGTGCTTGCAAAATAAGTTAAAAAATAAACACATAAAACCTTTACTAATCCCTCCTTTCACCCCCACCCCACCGTTCCCTCACCCCTGCAGTTCCTTATTGGCCTTATTGAACTTTGACCTGTGCTCTTCTACAGGCACGGCCCCAGCCGTCTCATCTCCTCGGGCTGAGGTCCTTCGTGCAGCCTCGGGGCTGTCAGAGATGGGATTTTTGACGGTCACTTTACCGCCAGGCCCGGTTGAGCAGTTTGACTTCTGCCAGGCGTTTGCTGATCATGGTGGCAAAGAAAAGAGCGAAGAGTACACTACTGATCAGCATGTAGTCGTAGTCGTCTTTTAGTACGTCAAACTGCTTTGAGGGATAGACACGCGTCTGGTAGATGTCGAGACCGTATGCCACCACCTACAAGGGAAAAAGTAACATTGCCATATTAACATAATCATTTACGTGGAAAGGGAGAAAACATACTACATGCCAGTGGTTGTTTATCTTATTTGTTATGTATTTCTATTTCTAATGTGTTTCCGGTAAAGCACTGTGAATTGCCTTTTGTCTGAATGGTACCAAAAAAAAAACTTTTTTAAATATTTCCTTCTGTCAAAACATTTGGAATAAATTTTGAATAAAACAATTGCTACAACAAGAAATGCCTATCTTTGTCACAGTACTGTGATGGCAGACTCACCAAGCAGGTCGACTCCAGTCCAGAAGGGGCAGTGTAGATTCCTCGCACTCTTGATACAGTCTGATTGTAGTTGATGAACCACTCTGTACGGATCAGCAACTCTGGTGCGTACGGTATCAGGTTCTCCTCACTGCAGATCAAAGTGAACACAGTAGTCAGAGAAACAGTGGAAAACAACTGAAACATTTTAAAGCAAGCCTGACTGGAGGACTCACCGGCTTTGCTCAGACACTATTTCTGGCCTCCGAGGGTCAAGGAACATCTTGGGTAATGACAAAATCCCTCCAGATGGCAAGCCAACTATAGCAAAGAAAATCCATTGAAAACATTAAAAAAACGCAACAGGTCAAACAACATAAGAAAAGGTTGGTTTGCCTCAAATTTCCAAAAAGGGGAAAAATGAAAGACAGTCACATACTGCATCCCATAAGACTGGACTGGAAACTTACTGAGCAGATGTCGGCTCGTGATGCCCTTCTCAGTCAGTGTGGCCTCCAGGGTAGAAATGTAGGAGGGGAAAATGTAAGACTGCTGGAGCACCTGAGGAGCATGTGGCCGGTCCAGCGAACTGAACACAGTGCTGTTGTAGAGCTCCATCCCCTCATACAGTTCAATTACAGAGAACTCGTTCCTACGAGACTTGGTGCTCCAGTATTCGTACTGCAGAGTGAAACAGAGGCAGGGGACATATACAGCAGTGAGATCACAAGACCCTCAAGGCATCACCTGTGCATCATCAAGGTTTCATTACAGGTGCTTAGTCATTTTTATAGAGCTGCAGTGAGCTAACACTGCATTATTTCTGTCACAGAGCAAAGGGCAACAAAACAATTAAATCCTTTTCATTTCTATCATTATTTTAGCAGTCAGTAACACTCACCACCACCCAGTTTTCAGAATGCACAACATGCACCGGTCCTCTGGCCTTTCTCTGAACAGCCTCGTGGATAATGCGCCCAGTAACGCCATCAATCAGGAGGATCCCAACAAAGCTTCGCTCCTGATGCAAGTCTGTGCTCTCCGTCACCACAGCCAGTAGATTGGGGTTCAGGTACTGTAAGAAATGAGATGAAATATCATTCAGTATCTTAATCAATCAATAATTTATCATCAAACGCATACACCCCCCTACACTATACACATGTTTCACTAATACTCACTAATGGAGAAATTCTGGCTTATTTTTATTCCCCACAACCATGACTGACAAATTATTGGTCACATTTCTAAATAATTAAGGCATATGGCCTCCACTAATAAAAATATGTTATATATATATATATATATATATGTATATATATATATATATATATATATGGGGGCTAGATGACTGTTTTGTTTTCACAGATTGCATGTCTGCGTGATAAACTGAGACGTAAGACATGAAAAGAGTGAGGATATGAAGCTGAAGTGGGAAAGACACCAGTATATTGTTCATTCTGTAATGTACTTTTTTATTGTGGGGGTGTAATGAACATTGCAGTCTCCACAATTCCCTGACAGGGCTTGGGAGTTTTTCACAAAAATTATAAGCAAGAACTACAGTAAGGAGTGTCCCAGTAGAAAAACACAGGGATTATTCTTATTCAGAGTCAGTGGCGGAGGGGGGGGATATGATTCACTGGGGAAACAGTGACATGATGGTGTGATGGTATTTCTTGGAAAGATTAGTTTTCAGCCTACATCAGAAGACGGGGAGTGACTGTTTTTCTGACTGAAGTGGGAAAGAAAGAAGTCGAGACAACATGGACCAAATTTAGCACCAATAAGAGCAATGATACACATAACGTTCTTAACACTCCTTCCAAACTACAGTTAGTAAGGTTTAAGGGAAAGTTATCATACCTTATAGAGGACACTACGGTCTCCCATTACTCTTCCCTGGGAGTGCACATGCTCATTGGGTCTTTTTCCTTTGACAGAGACAATCTTCTGTACCTCGGCGGGGATTACGACCTCCCAAATCAACTCTGTCGACAAGTCCTGAGTGCACAAAAACATCCAGATTCATTCTTTCAGTTATCTGTGATTTAAGTATCATTTAATGGGAACTCACTGTGAGAACAGGAACAATAAACACAACTCAGGCTATATTGCTCATTCTCAGAATATCTGAATCTTTATTGTCCATTTCCCTTTCACACTAAAAGTATAGTACTGGCTCTTGGTCAAGCATTAGTTATGTGAAATACATTTGATTGTCCTTGATCCCTTTTTCATTTCTGAAATATGGAGTAAAAGTATCACTGCAATTATAAACAATAACACTGGCTAGAATATCTAAAAAAAAAACCTTCTAAAACTCTTGAGTCTTGAAGGTTCACTTGCCGTTCGTAGCCTGTAGCCAGAAAGTCTTCCCTGGGTGGAGTCAACAAGATAAAAGAATATGGATGAAGCCATCTCCTGGAGCTGCTGTAGTACATTCTTTGTAGAGGGAAAAGCAGACACCTGTGGAAAAACAGTAGATGGATACAATATTTTACTACATTGGTTCTGGGTGACTAAATCAATGAACTAGGAGAAGAAAAGAGTCATGTTTTGGCCTGATGGGTGTGGATACGGAGAGAAACACAACATATATGTCTGTATCTCTATTAGTTCATGTAGAATGTTGAGCTGATGTGTGAGGAGGTTGAAGGTTTGTCACTGACCTTGTACTGGTCATCAACTAGAAGTAAGACCTTAGCATAATCCTGGTCCATGAGAGGCAGCATGAGTGACTGAAGAATTGGCTGAGGCAGAGCGGGTGGACTGACGTGACTCTTCTTTCCAAAGATGGGATTAAATACATGGAGTGTGGCCAGGCCTGTGTCCTAAAAATGCAACAAGAAATATATGAGAAATGGCAAAAATAACTGCGCACCACTTCTAAAGTTACACAGGCTACACCAATGTTTTCCTTTAAAGTTCTGCTCACTGCTGGAGAAATAGTATTCAGCCTTTTGCCAGGAGGGTGACTGTGGCTCAGGAGGTAGAGCGGTCCTTGAGCAAGATACCCCAAATTGCTCCCAATGCTGTGCCATCAGTGTATGAATTAATTAGTTTCTGATGAGCAGTTGGCAGTGTGTGAATATGATATGTAGCGTAGTGGTCGAAAAGGTGCTATATAAAGGAGAAGTACAGTCCATTTCCCTTGCTTACATGGCACACTCAGTAAAAACTTCCCTCTCTTAAAGCGCCACACTCTCTGTGAGGTACAAATTTACCTGTTGATTTTACAGTGAAGTAATTCACTTTATTGATGTCCATGTGGCCCATAAGTTAATAATAATTGACTCCCACCCTTGTTATTAGATACCTTGTCTTTGATGAGCAGTGTGCACTGTGGTGGATGAGGGAAGTGCGCAGTGGTCCGTTGCACCATTAGTTTGAAGGCTGCATTAGATGGGATGTTGTCCAGGTAGTGCCTCCATAAAATACTGCCGGTCTTGCTGTCAATCCCAAAGAGCTTAACAGGAAAAAAAGACAGAGGATGAACTGTACAGGAACGTTTCAGAGACGACTGCTGGAGTCTATTTATTAGTGTTTCATTTCACTTTCTGCCTGCTGACCATAGACAAAACAAACTCGTTTGACCACAAGTTCAGCTCATCTCTCCTGGAACACTAAGAAACAGAAACTAAATGAGAGGGTAAAGCTTTAGTCACTCAGTCTCTTACCTTGCCAGATGCAGTAACCATAACCATCATCTTCTGCAAGTTGAACTCGTCTCTAGAGAGGTTCTCGATGGTCACTTCGTTTTTAACTTGACTGCGAGGCTTCCGTGCATCGTAGAACAGCTTCCAGAGGTGGGCAATCCAGGCCTGCAGCAAGATGAGCTGAGAGGAGAGCCTCTTCAACACCATGGACATCAGGCCGTCTGGACACATTACAGTGAGAACACAGGCGCTGCTTAATGACTTTCAGTGGATTCAATTCACATTTAAGGATGTCATTTCACGACTTATTAGACGTTTCTTGCAGTGTACATTGTGGTATTGTCATTGCAGGCAAATCACAGGTGTAGATTACAACATTAAAAGGCTCTGTAGATCACTGTATGTGTAAAAACTATAATACTGTAAATGAATACTTGTTTAGCAGATTTTTTCTCATATCATTAATGAAACAACAACAATACAGGAACAAATTTGTCTTTACAGAAATATAAGAGAAAGAAAGGTTCATTGAAAATGGCAAGGGATTTTCAGTCAACCTTAAGAACCATTAAGCAAGTTTTATTGAGGAAAAGCAGAGTATTACCTTGAATGGCTGAATCCAAGCGCAGCAATAAAAACAAGACAAAAACAAAAGAAAGTGAAGCCAAAAGCAGCCAAGCAAACACACCCAAGAATCAATTAAGGCCTTCAGGCCAGTGGCAAGCTAAAAAAAAACCAAACACTACAACTTTGATGATTAAATGCAGGTGCTGAGCAGCTGTAGTAAGGATAAAAGTAAAAGCAACAATTTAGTGGACTAAATTATTAGTTCTATATTAATAGAAAATCTCAGACAAGACAAGCTTGAAAAACTCCCCTGAAGATTAGGAACTAGACAGCTGCCTAAAGCTTCTAGGACATGTAAGAACAACTTCAACTTAAAATACATAAAACACTGAATATTAATCCACAGCAGAGATTAGTACTTAAAATTTGAAACATGGGACTAAAAACACATGAAGGGGATTCTGGTTTGACATTTACCAGCCTTTTTGCCAAACTCTCCCTCCAGCTCTGCCTGCGTTCCTGTGAGAGGCAGATCCACCATTTCCATTGTCACCACATCTGACAGGGCCTCCTCTCTTGTCCACATTACACGCCCTGGAAAACAAGACTCATTATTGTTCTGCAATCATTCATTCCACTTTCCACACCCTGTGGCAGTATGCAATTTGTGTTGACACTTTCCATGAATTATGACACAAAACATCCCCCCCCCGCTGGCTCGTGTTTGTGGAAAGGACAAGATTGTGTGTATGTTATGAAACCCAAGAGCCTGTTTGCGCTCCACACAGTGGTCAGATGTTGGCAGCATTTATGATAATTAAGAAGTGGAATATACCCAAATGTTATCATAACGCAAATCATGGCTCACCAGTCTGTTTGCACGTTGGAAAGATGTACTGGATCTTAGCATTAAACAGTGACACATAAATCAAAAGCTTTGAGCTATTTCCCCTGGTGGCTATAAATGCCACGTGACTCCCTACAACACATCTCCTGCAGACACCTGTATAAGAATAACAGGCGCCTCCATTTTCATGCATAATGAAAAACAAAAGGTCAATACATGTGTGTTTGTGGGCCAAATAAAATTCCTGAAAAAATTGTTTTTATGACTAAGGTTTTTTAAATGTTTTAACTTTGGCGCCCCTCAGTGGTAGAAAAAAAGACAGTGGTGCATGACGATGCTTCAGTAACATTAAACATTGCAGACTGACAGAGCACTCTTTCTAAAGCTAATAAAGCTTCCCGTTTTATTCATACCTGGCTGTTGTATGAAAGTGAGTGTGTGATCCTCTGTCTGCACCATTACCCTGTAGCCAACAGAGTCGTCTTTCTTGAGGAAGGCCTGGACATGCAGCTGGAAGACAGAATAAAAATGACCTAGATTGTTAAAAATTAAAATTGTGAACATCCTAATGCTTGATGTGCACATGCCAAACATTCCCAAACTAGACTGATGTGCTCTGAAAGTAATCATATTGTCATATCCTTGTTGACCAGCCTGGTATCAAACATGCTGAAGAATAACTGGGAAGAAATTCAGACAAACCTTCTCTGGTTTCCCACCATAAGGATCCATATTAAAAATCAGTGTTGTGTCCAGAAGTCTACGTCCAGTTTCTGCACTAAAGAGGTTAAGACTGCTGGCCTGTAGGGAAGAAAAGAGATACTCATATCTTTCACAGTGGTTAAAAAAAATGTATTCATCATTATTATTTTCATTTGATTTTCAAAAAAGTATTGAATTAAGTGCAAACAGAGTAAAATATCTCCATAACTTGGGTCACATGAAAAGCCCAACTAAAAAATGTTTCACAGCTTGAGGTAATTTTTTGGCATTTTTTGGGGGGGTGTTTTACCACATACTGTACGTAACAAATCTGTATGTATGATTTCACATTAACTCACTGTTTTATTCTTGGGCGACATGACAGCAGCAACAGTCTTCTCTCCAGTTGTAGCAAATGAAACCAGCATGGCCTGTGAATAGAGACAAAAGAATCATAAACTGTTCATATTATCAAATTGTATCAACAATATCAATATCAAGTATCAACAATTGTAAATTCACAATATTACACACTGAGATTTAACCCTTTTCAAATAATAAAAATAATACATTTTGGAAAATGTCAGAGCTAAAATAACAAATATTCTAAAATTATATAACTTAGGAAACTGTGACTTACAGCTGTTTTGAACATTTCCTTTGTTGACGTTACATAGCCAAGTGACATTTACATACTAAGCAAGTAACTGAAGTTTTTATACAGAGTGACTTACACTACAATAATTCCAGTACTAGAATAAACACTTTTGGATGACAGACATTACAAGAAACAGGTGGTCTGAATTTGAATTGTCAGAATCTAAAGCGCAAGGTGGAGAAATTGTTACGCACTGGCTTGAAATCCCTCAGCGTAACTATCTGCCCATTGTTGAGCTGGAGAAGCTGGTAGTAGTCAGGCCCGAGCTGAAGGAAGAACTCTGACAGCGGCTGCCGGCCCGGGTTGGGCTGGGTGGACACCAGTACTGGATGGAAGCCAGGGGCGACTTCAAGTCCTAGTGACTAGAAGAAGACAAATGGTAGCACATTGTGAAAAATGGTGAAAAGCATTCACACTGAGAAAAAGAGGTAGTTATAAAGAGAGAGATTGTGTAGGTAGAGAACCGAGAGAGAAATGGAGACCTACCCAAACAAGAGAATAGGGTACAGACAGTATTTTAATTCATTTATAAAACACAGATAGAACGGTTTTAGTTTAGATTGATGGGTACCTGCAGGGGGATCTGGGTCATCTGTGACTCTGTGTGCAAGTCAAGCATGTACAGGGATACAGTTAAAGGGTCCACACACGTCAACATCCCCTGGCTGATCACTACACAGCTGGCCTGTATGTTGGACAGCCACGCAGCTTCGACTGACATCTGAAGAAAACACATGCAAAGAGGTCAGAAATGTGGATTTTATGGTAATATATTGCAACATTGGTTTGGTTTACTTCATGTGTTTTTAAAAATGAGAAGAAACTCATTATTTATATTCTACACAGCATACTTTATACTGCTACTATGAATCATGGTTACCTGCTTGATTATCTCTCCGTCCTCCACACTGTAAGCAACAATAGCGATGTGGGAATGGGGGACAATTCCCAGTGCATACACTTCACCATTTCCATCAGAATACACTGATTGGTAATCCACAGTTTCACTGTAAAGATAAAAAGATAGACAGTTATACAACCTTGTTCCTGAGAACCAATAGTGTGTGCCTTTACAAGTCTTCCAATGTGTCTGGAGGGGATCTTTAATTTCAGGGGAATTGTTTTGCTAATGAAGGCTTACATTACACGTATATAGATGGAAATTGTTTTAATGTTGACCCAGTAGCTAACAAACATGACCACTTGCCTTTCTGGTAGATTCTCTATCCATTTTTGATGACCATTAGAAAGGTAATGGAAAGAGATGACAGTTTTCTTCAAAACAGCCACGTGTTTCACGTTGTCTTGCTGTCCAACTAAACATGCCGACTGGAAACTAAAATACACAACAAAGGCAGTTAACATCTGATCAAATCAAAGACGGTTCTACATTTAACAAGTGCCAGTCAAGGAGGTAATCACCTGCCAGAGTCAAGCACAATCTCCCAGTTCAAACCACCAACATTTATCTCCCAGGAGCGCAGCAGGCGGCCATTACCAACCACCAACACCACATCTAGGAGAAAAGAACAGTTTAATGACTTATCTGCTTAAAAATACAAAGTAAAAGCTCAGTAAGCTCCACTGCAATAATTAAAATCACCTTGTCCATGTTGCAGAAGGGCATCAATGTTTCCCTCGGGCCCAGTCTTATCCACATGTCTCCAGACTGAAACAGACATTAGTCTTAAGTAATATAATATATGAACAAAGCATGTTAACTGATGGGCAGATAGTCTTTCTATCCATGGCCCTATATAAGCCTCCATCACAACAGAACAAAATACTCACAGAGTTCTCCGGTCCTGGTATTGAGTGCAGCAAAAACATTGTTCTCTGTTGCTAGAAGCACCTTTTTGGATGACTGCACATGTGTGTCGAAGTGGGAAAAGCGAACCTTTCCAACATATTCCTGCCTCCTGTGAATCCCAAGACAGAGCACAATCATATATGATGCTATCACACACAGCTCAAATAGGAGTTAAGTTTAAGCACTATTTCACACTGGTTATTACCATATAAGTTACAATGCTGTCCCATTGCTCAGAATCCATTTATATCGCATTAACTATAACTCATTGAGCTTCCTGGACCATTTGTTTTACTAATGGCGAATTAAAAAAATGTAAACAAGCCAACAACTCCTTGTAAAAGCTAGTAAATCAATAATCTTGTATTCATTTTGATCTTTCTTTTGGCCTGTTCTTTCACACAAAGTCCACCCTAAACACACCGGGTCGCAGCTAGTGGCTGTGACAGGTGTTAGCTTTACCATCTCCTCATTAAATCATGGCTCTAGATAGCACACACATTTTATCCTTCTTTAGCTTTCTCTTACCAGTCGAATTTCCCTACTTGATCCTCAAACACAGCCTCGACGGCGCTGCTTAATATGATAAATTTCAGGCACAACAAAATTAGCTTTGCCATTGCTGCAGTAGCTTTGGCTTGCTCTTCAAAAGAAGGAGGAAGTCGGAAGTTGACTGGGTTACTTTGTGTCTTGTGACTGAGAGGTGGTGCCCCCTACCAGCCGGAGAGGTACACAGCTTCAATACATTTAATGCAGAGTACAAAATGTTTAACTTTCGTCTGTTCACAGAAGCTTAAAAAATAGCAATAATGTCGTACCATGTTAGAAATGTGCTAAATTTGTGTCTTAGATACATTTGTCCTTTCTTTTTTTATGCGGACACAAGCTGGGCTTTAAAATTGAACAGAATTTTACTAATTTGTGCACATTATTAACAATAAGATTAACTACAGAAACACGTGTGTGTACAAAGGGTTAAAAGGTGCTGTCTACAAAAAGAGAAAAAACAGACAGTAAGACTGAAGACAAAAATACTTTATATATATATATATATAATATTATTTCTTTAAACTGTCAACAATCAAAGAGATGAAGAACACCATTGATTGCTGGTCTTGAATAAAGTCCTATAGCTCTAATAGACGAGATGCAGCTTAGGTTAAGGTTGCAATGAATAAAAGCAGAATAATTAATTCTTACATAGCCTATATTATATATTATATTATATTATATAGGACCACTGTTAGTCCAGTTGGCACTGAGTCAATTATAATTTCCTCGAATTTCAGAGAAATGCTAAACACACATACACTATTAATTTGTATTAATAACGTATTTGTTTATTTAACTAAGCCATAAAATAAACACTGGTCAACTGTGTACATCAATGGAAAATAATTGCAATCCAAAGTAGTAAATATTCTTGATATATAACTTCTAACGTTATATTATAAATAACTGACCTGTATAATGTATTATTTTATTTAAACAGGTTATAAATGTAACGGAGAAAGGACGTTGTTAAAGTAAAGTAAAAGGTTGTGTGTGTGAGAGATGATGTCTGTCTGTCTGTCTGTCTGTCTGTCTGTCTGTCTGTGTGTGTGTCTGTCTGTCTGTGTGTGTGAGAGATGATGTCTGTCTGTCTGTCTGTCTGTCTGTGTGTGTGTGTGTGTGTGTGTGTGTGTGTGTGTGTGTGTGTCTGTGTCTGTGTGTGTGTGTGTGTGTGTGTGTGTGTCTGTCTGTGTGTTGTGTGTGTGTGTGTCTTGTTGTGTGTGTGTGTGTGTGTGTGTGTGTCTCTGTGTGTGTGTGTGTCTGTGTGTCTGTCTGGTGACAGGTTGTGAGCGCCCCCTGCGACGTACTGTCACATTTTCTTCTTCCAGTAGCTAGGTTACTTTTCTCTATGGGATTTCAAGATGGCGTCGAGCGGAGGAGATGGGGAACACGAATGGACAGCGGCAGTGCGACCGCTTTTATCAGCTTCGTACACCGCTTTTGAAACGAAAGAGCTACCTCAGCTTATTGGGTCTATAATCAACAGGTAACCGGTTACATGTCAGTAAATTGCGTGCCTCTGTTTGCTCAAATACCGGCCGTGTTCACTCAGGAGTGAGCTAGCTGGCTAACTTGCTAACTTAGCTTGTTTTAGTGAAGTTCGATGGGAAACGTTGCTAACGTTAGCGGCTAACGTTAGCGGCTAACAAGCTACATCAGCTCAACTTGCACTGGCAGCGAGTCCGTCGCTGACGTTAGCTAACTTACTCGAAATGTGATTTAGCTTGCCCTGGCTGGTAGCCCATACACTGTCTGAAACAAGGCACGACTTGTACCTGGTGGACGTCAGTCTCTGATATAAAGTTATTGATCGACGCTGATTGACGTCGTTTAGAAAATCTGCTTCATCATTAGCTAGCTAACACAAACATTAGCCAACAAGCTAACCAGAGGGCCTTTCAAACGGACTGGATAACGCAGCGCTGAAGTGGGCCAGTCACAGTAAAATGTGACTACGTCAGCTAACTTAAGTTGGCTAAATACTGCTTGTGTGTCGGGGTTTCCATGTCCAGCCTCCTCTGGGCATGTCAACAGACAGTTCAACATTAACAGATTAATATAAGGAGGACAGACAGCTTAATGTTTTCTGCTGTGTGTATGCGGTTGGGCTGAAAGTAGGCGGGGACCTTGTACTCCACTTATGTTTGATGAGTCGCCGTTGATGTATTGATATAATAATAATAATAAGAAAACAATAAATGGCAACATTGCTGGTTCGTAAATAAACGCTAATGCTGAAGGTCTTGTGGATAATGGGACATGGTGCTGCTAAACCCCGAGGAAGCTGGTGCAGTGCCTGTCACAGAGGGGAACTGTGTGAGCCAGGCATACGTTCAGTATTTCCGGGGACCTTTAATAGATTTTCTCGTAAAACTAGGTAGTATATGCTCATTTGTCCCAGCAAACTACCAATGCATACATCACCATGGAGTGATTGTCAAGTCAGTAGTGCCTACACAGCAGCCAGATTGTCACTTGATGGTGACATGGTGACATCAGCTGATCCCTCTGGGTATTCAACTCAAGAGCTTCCTGCGATGTGTATAGGTTTCATTTTCTCAAGCAACATTCAGTCTGCAAATATGTGCAGTAATACTACTACCGGGCCTGTTGGTTTCGTTTTATAATGAAACATTTATTTGGGTTGGCATGCATCTTTGTTATGTCTACGACTCTTCTGATGCTCACTCCTTAACTACGGTTTCTAATGTAAATTTCAACAATATTTTGTTGGACATTTAACATTTTTAACATCCAGAACATGAGTGTTAAATTACAGTGACAATGAGTGAGTGCTAGAGTAGTTTGACATCCTTGTACCAGAAATGGTGATGTCTCAGAAGTTACGTTGTCAGTAGGATGGGTGTTGTGTCTCCAGCAGCACATTTAAGTGATGTACGATTTAGTACTAATTTTAAAGCAATACAGAGCATAAACTACAACCATGGCTGAATATCAGGCATGTATTAAGTAAATGAGAAGGTCATCAGGTCTGGTGTGTTTTGGTTCTTTATTTATCTGTTGACCAGTGGAGAGTTTATGAAGCAGGTGTCCTTCATTTACTTTACACTGGTAATATGGAACTTCTCTGTGGTCAGCAAATGACCCAATCAGCTGTGGAGCTAGTTTTAGGAACAATGAGGATTGGGGGAAAAGGGCATATTGTGTTTTTCAGTGTTAGAAAGCAGAGATGCTTTCTGTGTATTTGGTTGTACTGGTGATTGTGAATACTTGAAACTATAAAATATTAAATATAAAATAGTTAATGTCCCTGTGCTAACAGCAGGTTGGCCATACAAGTTAGTCGCTACCAACGCAGACTACCTTCCTTGGTCTGGAAGTATGTGATCAGATCACAGATTGAAGAGGTGTTATTAGGGTTGGGCAGTCTGTCCCAGTGCTGGAAGGATGGGGTAGGACATTGCTGAGGTCTATCGGCATTAAGCAGAAACATTACATCAGAGCTGTGTGGTTCCAGGTGTTTTTAGGACCTCTAATAGGCTAAGCTCAACTACATAATTAACCACAAACTGGTTTTCCCTGTTGACAAACTACAATTAGCCTAGAGCTAGGGAGAAACATCTGCATAAACGATGTGCTTAAAGGCATCAATTTTCCCTTAGGACAATACACAAAAGGATGTCGCTATACTGACAGCCAGGGCCAGTTCTGTTTTCTTGTTTTTTATGTGAGAATAATACATTTATAAATGTAACAAACTATCATTGTTTGTAAAATGTGGTGAAAGGCATTCGCCTGTCCGGGAAGCTTTAATTGTTGTGAATCAGTTACCAACCACGAAAAAAAGTAACAGGTATAGGTAATACAGGACCAAACATAGTGCCACACCATTTCACGTATGCACAATTTTATTAATGACATGTTGATCAGTTCTAGATTTATCTTTGTAGATCAGCATTTTTAGCAAGTACCAGTTTGGGTTGGAGGAGGTTATCTGTAGCTAAATGTTGTAGGTATTTTTAGATTAATTCGACTCGACAAACAAACGTCATTCTCTGTATATTCTGTCTCTCCTGACTCTCTTCTCCAGAAAGGAAAATGCTATAAAAATGTTCTATGTTTTGAATGTTTTATTGGTTGTATTTATTGAGTTATTCCACTTGTCGTCTGCAGTGAATCAGACATCCTTCACCATGACAAACAGTATGAGCCCTTCTACTCATCATTTGTGGCACTCTCTGCACACTACATCACCACAGTATGCGGACAAAGTATGTATCATTCATTTTCTCTTCAGTATACTTGATAAGAAATTACTACTACCATTCAGCCCAAAGTGTCACAGGTTTTGTTTCTTCCAGCCAGCAAATAACTTTTGCTTTATCCCTTTAGTACCGAGAAATCAGCTGCTGTCGGTTGCTGCAGCATGCAAAGTATTGATTGAATTCTCATTGCTGCGCTTGGAGAACCCAGATGAGGCATGTGCAGTATCACAGGTGAGAGGAACAAACTGCATAGGACTTTATAATGTTGTGGGACTACATTCAACGGAAGATTTTGGTCCGTTTTAAAGGGATGGGACATTTACTAGCCTCAGACAAAATGTTTAAATTTTTTCTCTGTTTTGTTCTGTTTGTTCTTACATTTTGATTAGTTGATTCTCGTCATGTGTTTCAATTTTCAGTTTGAAAAGACATAAAATGACTGTATAAACCCATAAATTAAATTGATTAATACTGTTTATTTTTCTTCAGAAACACCTGATTCTTCTCATAAAGGGGCTTTGTACTGGCTGCAGCAGACTAGATCGCACAGAAATCATTACTTTCACCGCTATGATGAAATCTGCCAAGTTGCCTCAAACCGTGAAGACCCTTTCAGATGGTAAGTGCCCCTTAAGGGACGGACCAAAGTTAAACAATACTGATTGTAAAATTATTTATTTATTTTAAAAAAGAACAATTAAACTCATTAAAAACTAAATACATTACTATTTATTTTATTGATTTATTAGTTTCCTATATGGACTGGTGAAGTGATTGTTCAGTGATATTGTTGGTTTTAATCCATACTGGGGCTGAAATATTGACATAATAACCCCATAGGCCTTTTTGCAAAACAAAACTGACTGAGAGAATTGTGTCCCTTTTTTCCATTTAAAAGTGGAAGATCAGAAGGAGTTACCCAGCGCTGTGAACCCAGAGCTTCGACAAAAAGAAGTGCAAATGAACTTCTTTAATCAACTGACTTCAGTTTTTAACCCTGACCTTACCACCATCTTGGCCTCCCCATCAGCAGCACACATGCAGGCAAGTGTTACAGACCATTACTGTCATCAGTAATTGACCGCTAACCACAACGGTTTGTTTGAATTTCCTTTAATCATTCGTGTTTTTAATGAAAATGGATTTGCAGCATACAAAACGGCCGCTTCATCACTGGATTTACGGTTGTAATTAATCATCATAATTGTTGTTGAACTCTCTCCAATTATAGGCTGAGAGTGATTGCGATGACCAAACCACAGATCAAGCCATTCAGGCCAAAATGAAAAATGCCTTTGTCTCTCAGAATGTGTCAAGCTTACAGGAACTTGGTGAGTAGTTGTTGCTTTGTTGTAGGACATTGTTGGTTTATTAGCACGAAGTTTACAGTAACACCATCTATCTGTCATTATTCTAAAGTTGTATTCCATCTGTTTGTGCTAAAACACATTTGAAATTAGTTTTTGGAAGCCACCATTAATTATTTTGCACAATTATGGGAACTATATTTGGAATAACACTCCCTTAGAGTTGTTTTTCATTTTTTTCTTCAATACAATCATTTAAATTATTCACTCCTTTGACATTATGTTTTCTGCTGTGGGATATACAAATTAAATGTCAATTTTGAATTGGAAAGCCTTTCAGTGTAATCTGTTTGCCTGTGACTGTTTTAAGGGAGACCAACTCGTCACCTTGCCGCTGTATCTTGTTGGTTATTGAACAGAATCAATGTGTAGTGCATTTTCCTTTGACCTTTTCATGCCACATGACAGTGACAAGTCTTATTTTTTTGTACTTTCTTTAGTGGAAAAAATTTACTCTTGGCAGGTTGCATGGGTCTTAAAAGATTTAAAGCTCCAAAGTACTTTTTTGACGTTGTAATGTCGCATGGTACATGGTTTTTGTTGTTTTCTTATTAGAGCTAAAACATCCCCCCCCCAACTTATATTTCTAGGTGGGTCTGAGAAGTTGCTACGAGTGTGCCTCAACCTGCCCTACTTTCTACGCTACATCAACCGTTTCCAGGATGCTGTATCAGCCAACTCTTTCTTTATCATGCCTGCCACAGTGGCTGATGCCACTGCTGTCCGCAATGGGTATATATACTGATCTGTTTTGAAAGTGCAATATAATCTGTTTATGTTTCTGCATGTGATTTAAATGACTGTGTTTGGGATTTCTTTTGCTACCAAACATTCAATTAACTTTCTATACATAAAACCCATAACCAGGTTTCATTCACTGGTGATAGACGTAACTATGGCTTTGGACACACTTTCCCTGCCTGTACTGGAGCCCTTGACACCAGGGAGATTACTGGATATGACTGTGCTGGCTTTGAGCTGTCTCTATGCTGGTAGGTGATAACTCTGTAGGCAAAATAAAATTATACTGTCCAGTAATTCTGTCAATTGTCAAACAACAATCTCAGTAGAACTCTTAATGTTCTCCCCATTTAATAAAAAAATTCATTGTAATTCTCTGCATGGTGTTGAAAGTCAAATTGATTAAAGTAAAGAAAAACAACTGTTTTACTCATTTAGGTGTGAGTGTCGCCACTTGCATGGCCATTCTGCAGGTAGGTAGCGGCTTGCAGCTCCGCTCTGCCTCAACTGGGACTAAAGAGGAGGACTATGAAAATGACGCTGCCACAATTGTCCAGAAATGTGTGAGTATTATGAGTACAAGATTCACAATGTATGCTCATGTGTTAGTTATGAGACATAATCTGGTGCTATGTAGAAACTTCATCCACTAACTTGTATGTTGCTACTCACAAGTTGTTACATAGGTCTAGAGTAAGGCCAAGGTGTGTGTGTGTGTGTGTTTAGGATGTAAATGTTGAGAAAATATTTTTTTATTTCACAGATTACACGTTTGTTTCGTGACCGGCATTTTCTTTTTCATATTCACTGTCTATGTAGCTCAAACACAGTTGTCTCTCTGGCTCTCTCTCACTCAGACACACAGACACAAACTAAAGGAAGCTTCTTGTCAACCCTATTTTGCCGCATAGACTGAAAGCTAGACACAGATGTTGAAGCTGGGTACACAAAATGGGATTGTATCATAGTTTGATCTATAAACTCCGTCTGGATAGCATCTGCTTTAGTGATTTTTCAGGCTGACTGTGCACCAGTTTGACCCGCCTGATCGGCAGATTGGCCCCCATAGCGAGATATCTGGTTGCATTTGTTGAGTTTGACTTCGTAGAGGATATTGATTTAGAATCTCTAATTACTGCCTTGTTAGCATTACCAAGATAGAGCACATTTAAAATGGTAACAACTACAAACTTTGTCTTGGCAACAGCTGGAGATCTATGAAATGATTGGACAAGCCATCAGCAACTCCCGTAGAGCTGGAGGAGAGGTGAGGAACAAGTTTGAGCGTGATACTAGAATAGTAAAAGAATACGGGTTCATTTACTTTTGATACTTTTACTGTGCCACTTCAGACGTTTACTGTTTTTGAAGTAATATTGTCAGGGGTTTTTATGAAATAAACTCTTTATTTTGTACTTACTTATGTACTACAGCATTATCAGAACTTCCAGCTGCTTGGAGCCTGGTGCCTTCTGAACAGCCTATACCTGATTCTTAATCTGAGCCCCACTGCCCTGGCGGATAAAGGGAAAGAGAAGGATCCCCTTGCTGCCCTGCGTGTCCGGGATATTGCTGCACGCACCAAGGATGGCGCAGGATCGCCTAAACTTGGTCCTGGGAAAGGGTAATTTCCGAAGAGTCTGAAATACATAAATGTTTCTAGTGTCGCTGTGACTCATTTTGTTTCTTTTGATCTTCATCAGTTATGCAGGTCTTTTCTTACTTATGTGGGTGGGGTGTGGGCAGTGGTTACTGCAATGAAATCTCTGAAATGTGTAATTTTTTTCCAAGACCCATAGTAGGTTGAGAAAAAAGGCCTATATTTAAAATCAGACTGAACTGGGTATATTCACAACAGATTCTAAACACACAAACTGTATACTTCTGATATGTATTGCTTATGTTATCATTACATTTAAGAGAAATTATCACACTTAAGTTTATTCATGTGCATTAATTATTTTTGTTGTTTCTGTTATTTTTCTTAAGACACCAAGGGTTTGGAGTTTTGTCAGTTATACTGGCCAACCACGCCATCAAACTTTTGACTTCACTTTTCCAGGATCTGCAAGTTGAGGCACTGCACCGGGTAAATGAAGTAACGAACAAATACGCTTTCTTTTTTCTTGCAATTTTAAAGAAAATGTCCATTATTTTACAACTTGTGTCTTACTGTTGTACTTGTGGCCAGTATCATATATAACATAATATGAGCTCAAGACTTCCCACAATCATTATGACAATTGTGGATATAAACCTTCTGCTGGAAGCATGACAGGACAACTTGTAACAAACATACACAAAAGGAACCTTCTATTCCTTGAAGGCCACGTTTTCTTATTCCACTTCCTCCCTCCATCCACCTGCAGAGTTGGGCGAGTGATGGGCCACCAGCTGAGCTCAACATCATGGCACAGAGCACTTCCATCCAGAGGGTCCAAAGGCTCATCGATTCTGTGCCCCTGACCAATCTACTGTTCACCCTTCTCTCCACTTCCTACAAAAAGGTGCGGTTATTATATATTTACATAACTGTAATTTGCAAAATTCCATGTTATGTTGTGTTCTTAATTTAGCCATAAATAGAAAAGTGCTTATGCTGCTTTTAGGAAACCAGACAAAAGAGACAGTTCAGGCACCTGCAAGGGGAAACCTAATTTCCACAGCCTTTAGTTTTCCTCTAAAGACTTAACTTTTGTGATTTTGTTGTATTAAGTAAGTACTGATATTTTATTAGTGCAATGGGACATAACACAAAAAGTGACATAAATTAGACCAACATTGGTGCAACAAAATATACATACCCAACAAAACTGGTACTGTGATGTAAAATGTTTGATGCAACAAACAAACATGCTTTGTTCATAAAATTGGTTCTGGTTGAAAAGACTGTCTAATTGGAAGATTAAAACATGTGATCATTATTAAGACTAGGGGTGGGCGATATGGGCAAAAATAATATCTCAATATTTTTGGGGATTTTGGCGATAACGATAATCAGTCGATATCCTTTAAAATGTGATTAGAATTGTCTGAGCTGGACTTGTGTCCACCAAACGCATTTACAGCGCTGGGCGCTCAAAGTCATTTTCCGGCGCCCAGCGGTGTTAAAAGTTGAACAGATTTCAACTTGAAGCACTCTGAGCGCTGCGCTAAAAAACCCGTCTCCGCTGACATCTTTTACCGCTGAAGGCGCTTAGCGCTCTGAACGCTGAAGCCCATAGGACCCACGTCTCGGCACTAAATCATCTGAAGTACTGGTAGCTTCAGGGACTGGAGGTGTTTGTTTTTTCTCTACCATCGCGGCTGCTAAACTGTTGCAAGGAGGATGCTAGGGGGTCCGTGATCCGCCATGTGATCACGTGGCCCTAGTGGTGTGACTGAATCCTGCCATGCTGTGGGCGCTGCTGCAGTGTATTAATGGATGTGAGGGTTTCCGCGGGCGTTTCATTGTTTTTGTCGAGTAATTTAAATACTCGATAATGGAAATTTGCATCGTCAAACAACAATGACGTATTATGCAAAATATGCCCACTCTAATTAAGACTGCTCTTGTTTTTGCTTCCAACAGGCTTGTGTTCTCCAACGCCAGAGGAAGGGCTCAGTCAGCAGTGATGCCAGTGCTTCTACAGATTCAAACACCTACTATGAGGATGATTTCAGCAGTACAGAGGAGGATAGCAGTCAAGGTACTTTATCATTCTAGATTTAGCAATTACATCATCATCATTTAAGAAGGTCTCTGTAAAATTCAAAAGTTCAGAGTATGCACTCACATAGAAGATTTAGGTCTGCAAAACAACAACAAAAAAATCATACCCCTGGCTGTTGTCTGGACACGATTTTGACTTCAGTCCTGCCAAAGATGATACACAAAACAATGCACTCATTGTTCTGCACAGCACTGACAGCACTACAGGAACAACAACTCAAAAGGACTGAATAATTAAACATTATATCAGTTTGAAATTGTATATTTAAAAAACTCAGTGCAGCAAATATTACATTTGATAATGTGGAGCAAGGCTGCGGACAAGGGATGGCACTCAAAACCCGGTTATAAATAGTGATTTTGGCCTCTCTGTCCTTAAACTTGTCTTCTCTGTTCTCTGTGTTTCTGCTTGTTTACAAGAGGTTGGGGCTAGACAGACAGACAGAGCAGATAGCAGAGAGTATGAAAAGGAGTTTAGGTTATATTTCAGTAGACGACACTTCGTTATCCAAACACCTCTTGTATTAGAAAAATAGACTCGTCAGTCTAAAAATGTATATTTATTTTCCGTTTCTTACTTTCTCTCTAGATCTGTTATCATATTGGTCTGGGCCACAACAAACAGATGATTATCTGTTATTGTATTGGCCCTGAAATTACATATCAGTGCATCTCAACTTAATTTGATCTAGATGAAAAATGTTTATGGAACAAAAAATGAGTGTATGATCAGAACATCATGTAACTGTAGATGTGATGGAGAAACACTCACAGTGTTCATCACTTGACAAATAAATTGACCAACAAGCGATTATCCCAAAAGCTTTCCTCAAGGTATGCCTCAGATTTCTCCCCATGACAGTGTGGATGCAGGTACTGAAAGCAGAGTCATGTTTGTGTTTGATCTCTGAGCTAGTGTCAGTGCTGAGCTGTGTCAGTGAAGCAGTGAAACAGGTGTGCTGTCAGTGGATCAGTCAGTCAGGTTATGGCAGCAGTGAGAAGGGTAAACACAAACACACGCAGTAATGTAATTTATATTTTTGTCCCATCATCACACAATGACAGTGTAGTTGACAGTGTCTACTATTTCAGCAGAGAGAAGACAGGAGAAGACAAGTGCAGCTTGTGTCTCAGGTCAGCAGTTTTCTGTCCTTAGGTCAAAGACTTGGTGTCCACTTCACTGTCCTAGATTCATTTTGTTATTGTATGTCTCACAATTTAGGCTCTGAGCTGCGGCCCTAATAGCTTAGAAAATGACAGAGCCACAGATGTAGAGTCTTTGACAAAACAGCCTTTAGTCTGAAAGGTGCTTTCCACTGAAATTGACATGAGCTAAATTTTATTGTTTTGTCAAAGAGGTTCATCTGTGGCTCAGTGTGGTTCAAAGGATATTACCAGTGGTGTTGACATGTGGGTGCTCATTATTGTTTTTTTTTCTACAAGCATTAAAACCTTAGATTAGAGCTGGGTGATGTATGGAAGTTACTGATACCAACATTTGCAGTAACCAACCAAGTAATTGCTGCTCCTCTTGGTATGTTGAGTAAACATTTTTCTTGGGTGCTTTCAAGAGCAATGTCGTAAAACACAAAAAATCACCTCCTAAAATCACCCCTTTGTCATCCAGTGTGTGCCCCTACCTTGTCAGACAGATCAGACTGTAATTAAAGTTAAGCTTAACCCATTCTTTCACATTTAGTAATTTGTCAGTACTGAGGTAAGTATTTAAAATGATTGTTGTATTGATTTTGTGGTCATATTACCTAGCTCTACCTCTGATCTTATTTTTCTTTGGTCATCATATTCTTCTTACTTGTCATTGCATTACTTGTCACACATGTTTGAAAATGTCCTCAATACAAAAATAATGAGGAACCCATGTCAAAACAGTGGTATTATTCTTGAATACAAAAACATTGAAGTTGTGCTTGTAAACTATGGGCTTAAACACATTATGCTACGTCTTGCTGTCACCTGAGAAGTTATGATTTTTGTATGTTGCATGCTAATGTGAATATCACCTTGAAATGATATTCTGTGTTAAAACACTTACATTTTTGTAATTTAATTAATCTGTAGATATATTGGTATGTCTGCAGTGAGATGCTTTTCAAGTCATATTGTTGGTAAAAATATCTTTAAAGGACCAGTGTGAACGATTTAGTGGCATCTATTGGTGACGTTTCAGATTTCAACCAACTGAATACCATTTGCCTTCCAAGTGTGTAGGAGGAATTATGGTGGCCACAAAACTCACAAAAAACGGCATATATAGGCCATATCTAGAGCAACTGTTTGGTTTGTCCGTTTTGGGAAACTGTAGAAACATTTCGGTTCAATATGGTGACTTTCATGGTAGAGGAGTGGGTCCTCTGTAGATAAAAACGTATTCAAGGTAACGAAAACATTCTTATTTTCAGGTGATTATGCACTGACAAAAACATACGTATGAACATTATACTCCATTTCTGCCTATAGATCCTCCTAAATGTTACACACTGGACCTTTTGATTAAGTATGATTCATAGCTACTGAACAAGGCAGCCTTGTGGGGCCACCACTCACAACCATAGGTGTGAGTGATCAGTGTGTAGCCAGTCAGCTGACAAGGGAAAACAGAGACCTTGGTGCATCAACCCCTGATTTTCAGAATGAAGCCAAAAACATAGATGGGGTTGATTGGAAGTATTGGTCTGCCTGATCTAAACCCTAGTGTTGCTTTGTGACATTTCTGCTAGTTGTGGACAGTCCATGACAAACATTATGTTTGAGCATAAGCTAGTGGCAGTCTACTGGGTAGAAGAACAACTTGAATAATGGTTGACTTTATCGCCATATAATAAGATCTGTGGACAAATGTCTTACACTCCTGTGTAGACAGGAGTAGAGCTGTCATCCGAGTTGGATCAGGTAGCGGATGACGATGCCAGGCAGACTATGAATCCAAACAGAGCAGAGGCCTCTGTCTGCCAGGTCTTAAAATCCCACCTACAATGGGGGGTTGGGGAAAAAAAGTTGAGGGAAATAGTCAGGTTGAAGGCCTCCCAAGATTTAGATGCTCCTTGCATACAGTATGCTCTTAGACTAGAAAATTACGTTTAAATTTCAGTGTTTGTTACATATGTGCTGTTTTCCAGACTTCATTGAGTCTTCATTGCTGAATGCAACTGACTGATGTATTTGGCAGATTATTATTATTATTATTATTATTATTATTATTATTATTATTATTATTATATATATATATATTTTTTGCATTGGTTCAGAGCAATTAAATTGATTTACCATAGTCAGTAGTCACAGTAGAATGTCATTTTAGACATTCATACTTTCTATACTGCTCAAAAGACACATAGTTGGCCATGTGAGAGAATCAACCTTGTAGTATTAAGATATTATTTTAGTGCTTAAAAATCATGAAATTGAAATTATCAACATTTTACTTGATTTAAAATGGCTTTTTGTCTTAGCTGATGCATGTTGCTAGTGCAAAAAATCCAATGCCTGTGACATGTTGATTGTAACACAATGCTTCTTGCCATGGAATAATGCAGCAGTAGTGTATTTCAGTTTAGCAGATACTGTACAGCTTCCATTGGACAGTAACAACACACATTTAGCATAAAGAATAAACCTGATTTTAGCATTGTTTGTCTCATTGTTGCCTATAGCACAACAGTATGTATGAGAACATACAAACAAAAGCAGCCATGAACTTGATGTTACAATCTCAACAACAACATCATTTCGGTGGAAATTAAGTGCCCACAATAATGGCAGGTTACTGTGAGGAGGGTAGTTTTTTGTTGTTGTTTTTTTGTTTGATTTTCCTGTGACTAGGGTGACATAGGGTAACAATACAGTATAAGCTCTGTCATTATCATTTCAATACCTGTTTTAATGGCCAGTGTAATGGAGAAAAAGGGAACATAAATACAACAAATGGGTTTCTCTCATTGTCAGTAATAGAGGAAAAATATTCTAATAAGAGAAATTCTGTAGTATTCTCCTTTTTAAGTGGATATTCACCAACAGGATGTCACTGTATGTTCACTATTTACTTCAGTTTTTGGCTCTCGTTCACTTCCTGCACAGTGTTATAGGTGTAATGAACTAGTTTGAAGCTTTTTACATTTTGTCTTTTTATGACGCCACTACCACTCCACAGTCTTGTAAGTCTTGGGGCATTTCTCACCTCCACTCTGAGAAATTCATATGAATTATTTGTCTTTTCCTACAGATGATGACAGTGAACCCATCTTGGGGCTTTGGTTTGAAGAGACAATTTCCCCCACCAAAGACAAAGTTGCTCCCCCACCCCCTCCACCACCCCCACCCCTGGAGACCTCTCCCAGACTAAAGAGTCCCAGCAAACAGAATCCCAGTGAGAATGGAAACATTTTAGCTGGACGTAAAGACCCGGAACTGGTGAGGACTGATTTTTGTGTACCTGTCCAGTGTACGGCACGTTTTTTTTTAAAATAAGGGTAGCATACCTGTCGTCATGTTTCCACTAATAGCTTTTGAAAGTTTTTTGTTTTTAACATGTTTGTTTGTTCCTATAGTTCCTTAGTTTAGCCTCCAGTATTCTGAACTTCATCACCACCTCAATGCTGAAGTCCAGGAACAACTTCATTCGCAACTACCTGAGCGTCTCTCTTACAGAGCAGCACATGGCTACACTAGCCAGCATCATCAAAGACGTGGACAAAGATGTCAAAGGTATTTTTTTCATGCAAATGATCTCTCTAGTGTACCCTAATTTCCTTTTGTTGGCTTGGTAGATAATGATGACAGTAGCTCATAATTGGTAGACAGCAATGCATGCTAGGTTTAATGCATTTATTTTTCGCTTCAGGCTCCTCAGATGAAGTGTTTTCTTTAGCTCTGTATCACTTCAACCACACCATGGTAACATCAGATCTTCCATCCCCGGCCTTGCAGGTAAGAGGAATGACAGTATCTTGTTCACAAACACCAAAAATCAACATACAATAAAGAGCCTATAATTTATGAATTGTTTATTCAATGTCACAAACTTTTTATTGTATCTTTTGTCATTCCCAGAGCACCCTTCTTCAGCAATTAGGTGTTGCGCCCTTTTCAGAAGGTCCCTGGCCTCTGTACATTCACCCTCAGTCATTATCAGTCCTCTCCAGGCTTCTCCTCATATGGCAGCACAAAGCCAGCGTGCAAGGAGAACCGGATGTGCCTGAGTGTATGAAAGTCTGGGAAAGGTATGGCAAACATGGCAATTCTAATCTAGCCCTTCAGATTGCTCACAGAAAATGCTTGTGTCGGTAATGAGTGAAAAAGCATGGTTGTTTTAAGTTTATCAGTATTCTAGTATTTACCAATATTCGAGAACACACTTTTACAGTTAATTTTAAAATCATATTAGCTAGTGTGCTGTGGTTTGCAAAACCGCACATGAACTGCTGGGATTTATTGAATACTCATTTCTCTTTTCTGCTACCTTTTCATTTCCTGCTCTCATAGATTTTTGGGAACACTGAAGCAACACACTATTCAGAGTTCTGTTCATGGAGAAGATGACCTTAATGTAGAGCACCTCCAGCTCCTGCTGCTCCTTTTCCACAATCTGTCGGAGCGCGGACGACGATCAATTCTGACCCTGGTCACCCAGGCCATCACTGAAGTGGCACAAAGCAGAGACTCCCAGCTGAAGGCGGTACCCCTCAACCTGGCCCGCCTTTGTCTGGTTTTTGACTACCTGCTGCGCCACTACTCCAAGCCTCCCTTGTACCTCTTTGAACAGGTTAATTGCTTATATTCTAATGGTGCTATCTTGTCCTGATGTCATACTTCCTATTCATGCTTTTATTTTTTATTTAATTTGATTTGACAAGTAAACTGCATTCATTTGATATATATTACATGATATGAATATTTGACTATAAAAATATCCTCACAGTCACTATCCAAATGAATTAATTTGGAGCAGCAACTGGTACCAAAGATTCAAATATTTTTATGGTTTCTAGATTTGGTAAATTGCAGTTTTGAGTTATTTTGTTTTTATTACCCCAGCTAGAGGAGTAACATGACAGCCAAATTAAGTCTTTTGAATGATTGTGATGTGTGTGTTGTGATTACCAGAAATTTAGCTTTTCTCTACCATGAATATTGTTTACAGGTGCAGTATAACCTCCTCACCCCACCATCCACTGGACCAGGTTCTGTTCAGGAAGGTGGCAAACGCAGCAGCCTTCCCCTTTACTATGGATTCAAAGAGGTGGAGGAGAACTGGGCCAAACACTGTTCAGCAGGTAAGACCAGTGAAGAACAAGTTGCATGGTCTGTTTTTGTGGAAGGAGATTAATAATAAAAATTGAACAATTTGCATAGAACCTCAGCAAGTTTCAAACATGTATTTCATATTGTCAACAAAGAACAAAGTGTTCTGATTTCTTATCTGTGAAGAGGATGTGGCTATTGTGGTACTAGATGAGAAATTATTGTTCTGTTTTCTTGCACTTCAAAATTTCTTAGATTCAAATGTTCAGCCCAAATTCTACTGCGTTCTGTCCCCTGAGGCATCTGAAGATGATATCAGCAGACTGGACAGCAAGGTGAGACTTTGACTTCTAATAGATAAAATGGTGGTTTTTTTCCACTCCTGTGCCTCACTGTATCCTAAGATAACTTTCCCCCCTGGTAGGTCTTTCCTAAGCTGTTCAATGGAGCGGTTAAATACGATGAACTGTATGCGTGGCTCATCTCACTCCTGGTGGCAGGCTCTGAGTTTGACACAGCAAGAAGACAAGAGAACAAGCCCATCACTCCTATGGTGAGAACACATGACATGAACACACCATGAACTGTGTGAACAGGTTAAACAAGCCCATGATGCACCTCTATAACTAAAGCTGCATTTCCTGAGTTTGCTTTAAAAAAAAAAGTCTTCCAGTTGTTTGATTCCAAAAAACCTTTTAATGTGAAACACCACCAAATGTTAGTATTTTAATTAATCATAAATTAACAGCAACAGTTCAGACCTGATATTAACTGTGTGGGGATTAGAGTACAGTGTATGTTTGTTTATCACCCTACACAGGAGGCATGCTCCCTTCAGTACTACTTCCTGATACTGTGGAGGATCTTGGGCGTTTTACCACCCTCAAAAGCCTACATGGAGCAGCTACAGACGGGCTGCAGCGATCCCAGTGAGAGTGACATCCTGCACACACTGCGATGGTCCTCACGCCTCCGGGTGTCAACCTACGTGAATTGGATCAAGGTCTGTTGACACATGAAAGTCCTATAGAATGCTTATTAACGTGATGTATGCCAAAACAAACAAATGAATGTTTTTTTTATTTCTTGTTCATTTCTGATTTACATAATATAACATACTGTGTCCTTAATCCTGTAATGAAACACCTTTTTCATTGTGGTTTATTTTGATGTATGATTATGCCCATGTCCTCACTGACAGGAACACCTGGTGAAGCAGGGAATGAAGGCAGACCAAGCAGCGTCTCTGGTTGAGTTGACAGCTGCTAAGTGCAGCACTGTGAAATACGATGTGGAGCTAGCAGAGGAGTACATTGCCAGACAGGTAATGATTTCAGTGTAGTCATTGTTGACCTGTGTTTATCAGTTATTGTATAAACTATTTTGAACGCAGCTGTCAATCTTTGACGATTTTGATGATTCTGTTGCAGATTTCCACCTTCTCCAGTGTAGACCCGAACGTCATCCTTCCACTTAATCAGTTACCCTCGCTGCAAGCCATCTATACACTCGATGCAGTCATTTCTAAAGTGCAGGTTTCCCTAGACGAGCATTTGTCCAAGGTTGCTATTGAAGCAGACACCCACAAGTCATCTGAGATCACAAAGAACCTGCTGCCTGCCACACTACAGCTCACCGATGTTTACACAGCTTTTACCAGGTAAAAAGGGGTCCACTCTAACTTTCGCACTTTGGTTAACGCTGAACATCAGACAAGCTCGTCTAGGTCATGCTTTATGTCCAAGCTGGGATATAAGGTTGTGATTGAAATAGCTGTTTGTCCTCGTTTGTCTGATTATTAAACCATGCTTGTCATGAACAGGTCTTACCTACTAATGAACATCCCAGAGGAAGGGGAGAACAAGCTTACAGATGCCAAGCTCCAAGGTTACGCTGCAGTTCTGTCCATTGGATCCACCCGCTGCAAGGCCAACACGCTGGGTATGTGAAAGAATTATTCAAGTAAAATAGTTTTCTCATAACTTTTCTTTGCACTCACTGTTGTAACCTGAACATTTTTAAATTCGCAGGTCATAGTATTATGCAGAACTTGCCATCGGCAGTACAGACAATCTGTGAGACTTGGAACAGCATCCACACCAATGAATTCCCCAACATCGGCTCATGGGTATGTGAATAAAGGTTGTTGCTTATAGTTCAGTTTGACTCCTTCCCTCTTTGTGAGCACTTTGTAAAGGAGAGTTGGCAGTCTACTCACCATTCAGTTCCATGGCCTTTTATCTTAATCATGGGCTGGTACTGAGCCGTTGACTGTGAGTCTGCCAAGTTATGTTCAGAGCAACTGAATTATATATTTTATGTAATTATTTCTCGGTTAAATAAACTTGACACTTTTCAATTTTAAACATAAGCTTTAATGCTCTCATTTTAAACTATGGGTCTTATCTTAAAATATCTACCATTTAAAGCTTTCAGTCATATTAGAGATATCCAGTATTGGAAAAGCATTAAAATTTCAATATACAGTTTAGACTAATGATCTTGTGTTTTCTCTTTCTTAGCGAAATGCATTTGCCAATGATACCATTCCATCAGAGAGCTACATCAGTGCCATCCAAGCGGCTCACCTGGGTACATTGAGTTGTCAGTCCTTGCCTCTGGCCTCTTCTCTGAAACACATCCTGCTCTCTTTGGTTCGCCTCACTGGCGACCTCATTGTGTAAGTGCCTGTCCAGTGCTATTTAAAGTCATTAAACATAGAACCAATAGCATGTGATAAATGTAATTTATTTGTGAATAACCTGTTATCTTAAAATTGCTGCATGTTTGTCTCCTCAGCACAGAGGAGCTGAATCCTTCGCAGGTTGTGCGCACTTTGTTGCCCCTCCTCCTGGAGAGTAGCACAGAGAGTGTGGCTGAGATCAGCAGCACCTCACTGGAGCGCATCCTTGGCCCATCAGAGTCAGACGCCTTCCTAGCCCGCATCTACGAGCGTTTGGTGACCGGGTGTTACAACATCATTGCCAATCACTCAGACCCCAACAGGTATGTTTGATAAGATAATTAATTAAACCTGCATTAAACATTATATTTGTTATTACTATTGAATCAAAACACTTTGTGTGCTGAAGAACAAAGCCCCACTGTGCAGCTTTTAGCATATTTTTGTTTACTAGACTGCATGTTCATTGTTTGGTGGAGTCTCACTGCTCTTTTTAACAGTTGACCTCTCATTTCTTTTAGTGGTTTGGATGAGTCTGTCCTTGAGGAATGCCTTCAGTACCTTGAAAAGCAGCTTGAGAGCAGTCAAGTCCGCAAAGCCATGGAAGAGTTCTTTTCTTTCAGGTATCTGCTCAGTTTACAACACAGGCTGCATTATTACATGTTTATACAGCTACCTCACTTATTCTCTGCTCCTTTTTTACAGTGGTGAACTTGTCCAGATTATGATGGCGACTGCCAATGAAAATCTATCGGCAAAGTTCTGCAACAGGGTGCTCAAATTCTTCACCAAGCTTTTCCAGCTCAGTAAGTCTACTGTTGTAATTTCAATAAAAAGCTATCTAAAGGCTGGGGTATGCTTCAAATTGACTAGTTCATACGAATGATTGTACACCAATGGTAGAAGTGTTAAATTCTGTTCCCAATGGCAGTGAAAAGCCTCCTGTCATGGAGGGTTGAGTGATGAAACAAATGTGGATAAATCCACACATTTTAAGACTGTCTCTCCTCAAAGGCTTAGATGGTGTTGCCCTCTATTAAAACCAAAAAGTGACGGAAGTAAATGTGTGAAGAAGTTCAACACCTGCATACTTTTTCACCTCAGCACACTCACACCCGACTAATAGCTGCGTAAAGTGGACGTACTAAACGTTTTTATGTTTTCGAAAAATTCTTAAACACAGTCCCCCTCTATTGTGATGTCGGAAAGGTGTGGGAGAGGGTGCAATAAACACGTTTGAAGCATACCTGATGCCTTTAAATTGTCAAAAATCAAAACAGAAATCTTAAACTGCATCAGAGTTTTCAGCAATTTTAAATCTCAATGTGATATTGTCGTACACAGCGGAGAAGAGTCCAAACCCCAGCTTGTTGTGTCTGTGTGGCTCACTGGCCCAACTTGCCTGTGTGGAGCCCTCTCGCCTGCAGTCCTGGCTGACACGCATGACAGCCACCCCACCAAAGGACTCGGAGCAGCTGGAAATAGTGCAAGAAAACCGACAGCTTCTGCAGGTGCTCACCACTCATATTGTGCGTGACAACAGCCAGGTGGGCGAAGGAGTGTGCACTGTCCTCCTGAGCACACTCATTCCCATGGCGACAGACATGCTAGCCAATGGTGATGGAACAGGCTTCCCCGAGCTCATGGTCATCATGGCCACACTTGCCAGTGCTGGACAGGGGGCCGGCCACCTACAACTGCACAGGGCAGCTATCGACTGGCTGACCAGATGGTGAGAAATCAGTTTCTCAGACATGTTGTCCCCAGATTTAATTTACTGATGTACATTACTGATGATCTTTTATCAGCAGTGCTATGGCTAAAGTCACCATAAAAAGCGACTCTCTGATTAATTACCATGGATTATAAAAATACTTTGTCATTGAGTGATCTAACCTCTTAGCCATTATTAAGCAGAAATACAGTCTTGAATTTCTGAATATTCATTTCAACTACTCCCATCTTTTCTCTGCAGCAAAAAATATTTAACACAGAAGAATGTTGTGGAAAAAGTGAGCACAAACATATCCCAAGGAAAGGTAAGTTTTTATCTGTGTCAGTATATTGCACCACTTTTTAGAAGTGCCTTATTTTGACGTCATCCAGGTGCAATTCTGTTTTAAACACTGGCATAGCATTTGTTAGCATTTTTAACCATTAATCGTCAAGTACCCCCGGTTCCTTTTTTTTTTTTTTCAGCACGCCAGCATGCTGGAATGCTCATGCCACATCATCTCCTATCTGGCTGATGTGATGAATGCCTTGCGACAAAGCAGTGGCCAAGGTACCGCGGCACTGCTGATGGAGGGAGAAGAGAAGGCTATGGAAGTGGACTCGGACTGGGTGGAAGAGCTTGCAGTAGAAGAGGATGATTCCCAGGCAGAGGATTCTGTGAGATCACATTTCTTTATGTCTATCCTCCTGAAACTGCGCTATGTTTTGTAAAAGTGTAGTATAAAGACCTGAACATGAAATCTGTCAAAGAATCTTAGACGTCCAGTCAGCTGAGTTTATATACACAGACTGAAATGCATAATGTCATATGCAAGAAATGGACAATATAATGTTAAAAATCTGTACCACTTGATTGATTTCCCCTGAAACATATTTAAGTGCATTATAAAATTAATGCCATTTTTTGTTTGCTTTACTCAGTTTTTACTCCATCTGTTGCTAAATGGATTAATCCATCCTAACACGTTTGTCATTGTTTAACAGGATGAAGACTCCCTTTGCAACAAACTCTGCACCTTCACCATTACTCAGAAGGAATTCATGAACCAGCACTGGTAATGAAAAGTTTATTGTTCCCTGTGATTTCAGTTTTATTCTGGATTAAGACCAGAGGTTGTTTTTTTCTTCCAATCAAGTCTGGTTCAAACTACAAGGCTGTTAGATCTGAAAATAGAGATGTCACACAGGGTTCCTTTCTCAAAATAAAGAGAAACTATTAAGATCCCACATACAGTAGATTTACATGAAACAGAGAAAAAGTTATCATTTGTTTATGTTTACAAAAACAAGACAATTTCACACTGCTGTCATTGTGCACAAAATGCTCCAAATTATGTTAATTTGTAATATAATTTAGCATTATCTAGAAAGCAAAAGTAACAGTCATTGTGTTAGTGGTATATTTTCTGTTGGGACTGTCTGTGTTTTTGTTGTCCTGTCGTGTTGCGTAGTTTTGATTTTCCCACGTCTTAATGCAACAAAGGTTTCTCTTTGTAGAGTCTAAACTAAGCTTGGAAGCAGCACCTTTGAAGGTTTTTGTAATATTAACTCTGTAATGTGGTTATAATTTTTATAACAGTATATACTTGTCTGTCGTTACTAAATTGTTGATGTATTTTACACAGCCTTGTCCTGGTCCTTTTTCATTCTACAGGTACCACTGTCACACCTGTAAGATGGTGGATGGGGTAGGTGTGTGCACAGTGTGCGCCAAGGTCTGTCACAAAGACCATGAGATCTCCTATGCCAAATATGGCTCTTTCTTCTGTGACTGCGGTGCCAAAGAGGATGGCAGCTGCCAGGTGAGACCGAATACCTCAGGTCATCATGGGAAGAGAACAACAGCGGTAACTTTGGCTTGCAAGTCATTCCCCCATTGACTTCCATCCAGTCATTTCATTTGGTCAGGGTTATAGCTAGCCCACACATGTGGCCAGAAAATGAGAGAAATCATGTTATGAATGTCTGTTGTCAACATTTTGTCTACTGAAAAGGCCAGTTTTCCTAGTTAAACTTACATGATGGATTTTTGAATTTGCATGTGACAATGAACAAACCATCAACTACATTTTACCTTAAGTTCTACACTAAGTTCTGTTTAGTTCTATGTCAGTCTTGTGATTACAATGACTCATAATAGTTTTGTTCAAATCCATAAGTGAAATGTATGGTATTGGCATGCAGCAAATTCCAATACAGTTAATAATTGTTTCAGTGATCTCAAGAGTCTTGTCAATCTATGATTTTTGTTTGCCTTTGGAGGCAGTTTAGATAAAGTGCACCTCCATCCAACACAATCTCTTTTACTAACTATATACTCCACAATGCTGAGGAGCTAGCAAAGTGAAAACACAAATCAGGTTATTGTAATGGTAAAGAAGTTAAAATAGTAAAGAAGATGACTTCATGTGAAAAGCTTTTATTTGATGTACTGCCATATTCAGTTTTATATTCATGCACATATCAACAATGTTGCTGTTCTCACTGCTGTAATTTGTCATTCTATCCACAGGCCTTGGTCAAACGCAGCCCCAGCAGCGGCATGAGCTCGACTCTGAAGGAGTCTTCTGCGTTCCAGAGTGAACTGCGTATGCCTGACAGTGCTATCCGCCACCAGAATGCCTCACCCTCCGACAAGGGCAAGGTCACCATCTGTGATGGCAAACCTGGCGATGAAGACAGACCTAAGAAGAGCAGTGTGTGCAAGAGCATTGAGGGCTGCCAGGAAGAGTTGCTAGCACAAGTGGTGAGAGAAAATATATTAATCTATTCTGGATGTGTCATTGAGTCTGTGTCTCTGTATGTCTTGTATGTTTCTCTATGACATAACATTGTTGCACTTCTTCTTCTACTTCTTTTATATGCATTACACTGTATATTGTGTGACTCAAGCTTTTGGCTCGCTTACTCCCCAACAGATGGGATCGTCCACTGCAGCAGTCATACTGGAGATGCTCATGTTCCTAATGGAAGCCATCCAGACCAACTTCCAGCAGGCATCAGCAGTGGGAAGTAGCAGCCGTGCTCAGCAAGCCCTCAATGAACTGCATACTCAGGACAAAACTGTGGAGATGACAGACCAGTTAATGGTATGAAGACCTGTACAGTTTGGAGTGGTTAGAAAAAATCACCCAGTTATTTGTTATGTAAACGTTATTATAAACTACACTGAGTTTAATAAATTGTCTGTTTTCCTCAGGTGCCCACGCTCGGCTCTCAGGAAGGGGCTTTTGAGAATGTGAGGATGAACTACAGTGGTGACCAGGGACAAACTATACGACAGCTGATTAGTGCACATGTCCTGCGGCGTGTTGCCATGTGTGTCCTGTCTTCACCCCACGGCCGCCGTCAGCACCTTGCAGTCAGCCACGAAAAGGGAAAGGTAAGCTTCACAAACCAGTAAATTAAAGCAGACATCGTCTACTTAATCCTCATGTCATTCCAAAACAATGTGTTGCAAATTATTCAACTAAATGGATAGATCCATGAATAGAAATTTTTCTTTTTCTTTTCTAACGATGTGATTGTTTGTTGTAACCCATTTTATCTCAATCTTCTGCTTGACAGATAACAGTGCTGCAGCTGTCCACTCTCCTGAAACAGGCTGACTCGAGCAAGAGAAAGCTAACACTGACTCGTCTGGCCTCTGCTCCAGTCCCTTTCACTGTCCTCAGTCTCACAGGCAACCCTTGTAATGAAGATTACCTGGCTGTGTGCGGCCTCAAGGTCAGAAAAACAGCTTCTTTCAAAGAACCTAAACCTATTAAAATAAAAACACTACAGACAACAATGTAGTTATTTTGCTTGCAAGAGAAGACCACAACTAAGTTACCCTCGATCATTATCATGGTAGCTTTCAGAGTAGCTGTTCATGCTAACTTTAGCCAAGTAGATTTAGATGTACTTTTAAAAAATGGCTGATACATAGGAATTTGGTATTTGACTCTTTTGTCTTTGTCGTTCTTTTTTTTTTTTCCAGGACTGCCATGTACTAACTTTCAGCAGCACAGGCTCAGTGTCAGACCATTTGGTGTTGCACCCACAACTGGCTACTGGCAACTTCATCATCAAAGCTATCTGGTTACCAGGCTCACAGACTGAACTTGCCATCATCACAGCTGACTTTGTTAAGGTATGTGTGTGAATAAAGACTTTGTATGTACCTTAAGTTCGAGTGTTGACCTATTATTGGTGATATGACTGAATGTTTTTATTAATTTGGAAAGACAGTCAGGTGCTAAACATGTAACTATGATTTCTCAGCTTTATGCACGTTGAAAAAACTTGGTGATACTCATCTTTTTCTATTTGTCTCCCCTGCTAAACAGATTTATGACTTGTCAGTGGATGCCCTGAGTCCTATGTACTACTTCCTGCTCCCAAGTTCAAAGATCCGTGATGCTACCTTCCTTTTCAACGAAGAAGGGAAAAACGTTATTGCCATCATGTCTTCAGCAGGTTACATGTACACCCAGGTCATGGATGAATCCAGTAGTGCCCAGCATGGCCCTTTCTATGTCACAAATGTATTGGAGATAACCCACGAAGACTTGAAGGTAAGTGGGATGTGTACTAGGCCATGGAATTATACATGTGCGATGTTGTACAACATGTTTTCACAGCAGAATATATCATTGTTTGCTAAAAAGGGTCTACAGTATATCCAACCCTACAGTGTATTCCTGTTAGTTGATTTCATGTTTACAAACCACTTAAAATCAGTGTTTCTTAAAAATGCTGAGTGGTGTAAAGAAATTAACATGGTAAATTCTTTCTGTGTGACTCCAGGATAGCAACGGGCAGGTAGCCGGCGGTGGTGTGTCGGTTTATTACTCCCATGTGCTTCAGATGCTTTTCTTCAGCTACAGCCAGGGGAAGTCCTTCGCTGCCACAGTGAGCCGCAGCACCACCGAAGTTCAGAGGCTCTTCCCCATCAATGTCAAAGGGTAACACTTCTCCACACCATATACAGTATCTTCACTTACCTGCTACTGCGCTGGATCTGGGAAATGTAATGGGTAACTGGAGGAGCTAACTATGTGTCTGTATTTCTCTTGCACTCATTCCCTCTTTAGCTCTAATGGCGGCAGCAGTAAGATGTCACCTGCTCTGTGCCAGTGGTCTGAGGTCATGAACCACCCAGGCCTGGTGTGCTGCGTGCAGCAGACAACGGGCATACCATTGGTCATTATGGTCAAGCCAGACACCTTCCTCATCCAAGAGATTAAAACTCTGCCAGCCAAAGCTAAGGTAAGGACAACTTACTGTCTTGACATGAAGCATTCACTAGCAGGTAAGAACATAGTGAATAGAACTTCAGCAGTGTATAAAATGGAAAAAGGAAGAACCCTATTAAAAAGAAAGTAGTAAAAAGAGCATGTATGAACTGAGAACACAGTCCTATAGTCGTTAAGCGGTCGTACAACCATTTTCTGCTTTTGACCTTTACTTGTTGTTGAGCCAATTACAACAAGGAAGTTTTCCTTGCTGTCATGCGATAGCAATTTTGTTTTCTAGTGCACATGTGTAGAACATCTGTTCAAGCGTAAGCAGACCCCTAATAATAGTGCATATAGAAGCACATCTGCTGACTGCAAGAAGGCCTGCAGCTTTGTGTCCATGTAGGTATTGCATGTATGAACAAACCTATATAAAAGCTTTTGCTCTTAGCGGCTTTGTATAAATACTACATATCATCCAATATCAGGAGACCACATACATTACAGGGAATGAGTTACTTTACTTGCACACATACAAAACATGATTAGGCATGAAATTTCAGTAGTAATTGTTCAATCATGTGTTTCTATATCAAAAGTGTCACCCACTGGGTTTAATTTCATTGCCATTTCTTTCTTCTTTATTAATTTTCTCTTTTCCTCAGATTCAAGATATGGTAGCTATCAGACACACTGCCAGTAATGAGCAACAGCGTACGACCATGATTCTTCTCTGTGAGGATGGAAGCTTGCGAATCTACATGGCCAATGTGGATAACACCTCTTACTGGCTTCAGCCCTCACTGCAGCCCAGCTGTGGCATCAGTATCATGAAGCCGGTCCGCAAACGCAAAGCTGCTGCTACGAGTGAGTTTTAGGCCAATAAAGTGCAATTATTTCACTGAAAATGTAAGAAATTGGATTCTGACATAGGTTATAAGCACACACAACTCTGGACATACATCGTTCAGAGGTCAAGGCCACTGTGACCTCACAAAACATGCTTTTGGTCATAAGTATTAATGCAGTGATGAATAGGTGAAAGGTCATCTTCACTGTGATGGTTTTTTTGTTGTTGCCATTATAAACACCATAACTCAGGAACAGAAGAGGGGATGATCATATCAGAATTAAAATGCGTGTTATGTCACTCTAGACTGACTTTTGTCATGCGGGTTACTTCAGGACCATTACCAGTTCATGATGTAATCTAATATGGGCCATATTTAAAAAGTTATGTGAACAGCCAAACAAATCAAAAAAATCTGTTTTGAGCAATAAAACAGAATTGAGCTTGTGTGCCGTTTTAAAATTTTAATTTACGTTTTTTTACTTTCAGCCACTCGGACCTCCAGTCAAGTGACATTCCCAGTGGACTTCTTTGAACACAACCAGCAATTGACAGAGGTGGAGTTTGGGGGCAATGACTTGCTTCAGGTCTACAATGGACAGCAGATCAAACACAGGCTCAACTCCACTGGGATGTATGTGGCCAACACAAAGGTAGAGACATTTTAACAAAATTCTCTGTTAGAAAAGGTGCTAGAGACTTACGTAATCAGTTGCTGCTGTCAGCCGTGTGTGTGTTTAGGCTATTGTCTACTGAGAAGTGATAATGGCTAAAAAGTCAATTTAAAGAATACTAGTTATATAGTATAGTGTAGTGTGTGTTTATATAGTATTATACAAACATTTTATCAATCTGTGCTTATTTAACAACTTGTTGTACTATTAGATAAATTACATAAAACACAACAAATGTCATGGTTCCGGTTATTTCCTTCTAGCCCGGGGGATTCACTGTGGAAGCGGTCAACAACAACAGTTCAATGGTGATGACGGGCATGCGCGTGCAGGTGGGCACTCAGGCCATTGAGAGGGCTCCTTCCTATGTGGAGGTCTTTGGTCGCACCATGCAGATAAACCTGACGAGAGCCCGCTGGTTTGACTTTCCCTTCACCAGAGAGGAGGCCCTGCAGGCCGACAAGAAGCTGTCCATCTTTAGTAAGAGCAATGATGATTATATCTGGTTACTTGTTGTTGATAATTGGATAATTTGTGTCGCCGGTAGGTATATCCAGTTATGTGGATTATCATTTTTGTAGCGACACTAAAAGCTACTACTGTGAATGTTAGCATTTTGTCTCACGTACCTATGTTTTTTACAGATGCATCCATCTTTCAACACCAGATTGTTAAATGTCGGAATTAAATCAGTTGACGAACCTCTTAAGGTTTCACTGCAAAATAAAAATGTTTATTGCTGATAATACCTCAGCACTGAATGATCTTAAAATACAGTGCGTTTTACTGCTGTCCGTTCAAAACAGTGGAAGAAAAATGTTAATGTGATGAATAAGCCTAATGCATTGTAGGCAATAGTTAACCACTAAGGTAGCATGCTGGGTGTTGGTACAGAAACAAAAAATATTTATTTTGACTTGGATCATGTTGAATTTGCTGCAAACTGTTTAGAAACCACCTTCTGATGCAATTTCTTTTTTCTGTTCATTTTAAAGTTGGAGCATCTGTTGACCCAGCTGGAGTCACCATGCTTGATTCAATCAAGATCTATGGTAAAACCAAGGAGCAGTTTGGCTGGCCTGAAGATCCACCAGAGGACTTCTCCTCTGCCTCGGTTAACAATGTCTGCAGTCCCAATCTCAACCAGGGCAATGGCACCTCTGATGGAGACATAGCCACCCCAACCACCACCAGCGGCAGTGTACTGGAAAGGTATGAGCTTTTTTCACTTTACGGTTCATAAGGTCAACAGAAGTTTTACACTTCTCAATCTCCTGTAGTCCAGTTAACCACATTCATGATCTGATGAGATAGTGTGACCATGTCTGTGACTTTCAAAAAGCCTAGTTTGTGTCACTTTTATATTAAACTAACCTTTGCCTACACAGTCAGATTTTATTTGATATACTATTTATATTTCTTTCTTTTAAGACTTGTGGGTATATATATCTTTGTGGGCAAAGCAATGAACTGTACTGTTTTATGATAATATTGGATTTCATATGATTTTTCCAAAATTATGATGTGATTTGACAGGTATTTATTTTGGTCGATTAACCAAAACATTCCCGTGGTTATTTAATATGTAAACAGTTTCTTTATTGGTTTTCCAGCTAATTAACTAGATTGTAATATTAATAGAGATTAAAGATGTGATATCCATATCGTCCAACCCTAGCGTATCTTTACCCTTCATGAGTCCATCTATGTAGCCGGAGTTGTTGAGGATGAGCCTGAAGTTTTAACAATGGGGGGGTTGCGTTCTCTATAGAGTATTTAGTGCATGGCTATCGTGAGGTCATCTTTTCTTGCATGCTTCTCTTATGTTCAACTGAATCATTTAATTTCACTTGTTTCTTTCTGTGATCCTCACACTTTGTTTTTGTTCTTTTTCTTTTGCTCCCAAAATACAATAAAAAGTTGTGAAACTGAGTCCTTATCAACCTTGGACCGGTTAGTAACTGCCCTTTCTCTGCTTGTTTGTATGGTTTTGTGCATGTGTGCCAGTTTGTGTGTCCATGCCTGAGACTGTGAACATGCCATGCACCATTTCCACACCTGTACAACAGCATTTATTCTTGCATTCAGTGTTGTTTTGGCAATTAGATCAACAGAGACTGCAACAGGTTGAGATTTGCTCTTTTTTCTGTTTGGTTGATTTGTGGGAAAATGTGCAGTAGAAGCAATGTTGATATTCTTTCTTAATTTCAGGTTGGTTGTCAGCTCCCTTGAGGCTTTGGAAAGCTGCTTTGCAGTAGGTTCCTCCAGTGAAAAGGTAAACGGATTCATTTTTTAAATTAGAGTAATAACACATTTGACCTAGAGTTTAACTTGCTTGTTTTTACGGAGCATTTTTGACTCTGTGTCTTTAACTCAATGTAGGAGAAGAATAAGGCTGCAGCGCTGGAGTTGGCCACTCTACTTTTGTCTATGCCGACCCCTGCAGGTGTGCAGCAGCAGACCAAGGGACTTCTTGCCAGCCTGCACACCAGTAGAACTGCCTACCACAACCACAAGGTAAAATAAAATTCCCTGTGTCAGACTGGACCAAAGTCATAACATTTTCAATGCACAAGGTGTTTGTAATATGTCCTGCAAAAATCACTTGTATTCTGTATCATTAGCCCCAGGTGTATGTACAGTTTTAGATCAGGAAGGGTCACTGTGAGCCAGGGGAAATTGAGAATCAAATCACAATTGTTTGTGGTTTACATTGATGAACACATTTGTTCTTTACCTCAAGGAACCACAGTGGAAATAAGTACAACTGTTGATCCTGTATGAAGATGTAAGCTAATATGATTGTAATGATGATTTTATGGGAATAGTGTGTGCAGAAGAACAGTCGGTGCTCGTTCGTCATCAACACTTAATCTATTAAATGTATAAACTACACAGCAGTTTGTTCAAAAATCAAACCCTCAGAAGTGCATAATGGTATTAGAAACTGAGTTCTAAGTGCAAGTACTTGTTGTTATTCAATGTTAAATGTTATACTAACTAATGCAACACTTGTCTGTACCCTCTCATCAGGACCAGTCCTTGCTGAGTAACGCAGTGCAGTGTCTAAATGGCTGCAGCCGTGAGGGGAGGGAGCTCGACCCTGATGTCTTCCAGAGGCTCGTGATCACTGCCCGCTCCATTGCAATCATGAGACCCAACAACTTGGTGCATTTCACAGAAACAAAGTCATTACACCATGACTCTGGTAAGAGACTGTAGCACTTTATGTGTTGATTTATTTATGACTTATTTGATTAAGCGATTGCACTGTAATCATGATTACATGATTTACAACTGTTGGTTAGAAAAGTGCCTAAATAAAGTTTCAGATAACTCATTTTTCATTCATTTAATCATTAATCTCTTAACGCAGAAATGGCAGAGGATGGGCAAAAACATGTGGATGGGGAAAGCTGTAATTTCATCACACAGCTGATGAATAATTTCTGGAAGCTCCATGCCCTAAAACCAAAGAACGCCTTTCTTGCTCCTGCTTGCCTGCCTGGTAAGTTCAAACTTCGGGACCCCCAAATTTGTTATAAGTCACATTGTAAGTAATGTTATTGTTAACATCACTGCTTGTCAGCTCACATTTAAATGTTATGTAGAACATTTACACATAATGCACCCTGTCTAGTAGTACTAATTTGACTTTAGTACTTTATCAGTACTTGAAACAGTGAATGTTTTCTTTTCCGTTTAAGGCCTAACTCACGTGGAAGCAACAGTAAATGCCTTGGTGGACATCATCCATGCATACTGCACATGTGAACTGGATTACATCAATGTAGCTTCTAAAATCTACATGCAAATGTTACTCTGCCCAGTAAGTATAGTACTTGCATAATAATGAGTCATGACATACAAAATCACTATCACTGGGAAATAATCCTTGGATTTACCAAAAATATTTGACCATTGCTGTTTATAATCAGGATTCTGAGGACTCAGGATATTATGTGACTTAATTATAATTATTCACAATTAAAAATAGAATCTGTAAGGTTAACTGTATGTAATACTGTAGCTAAAGGCAGTATTCGCACTGTCATGTAACCGTTCTGTATTTGATCCAATTGCAGGACACAGCTGTGAGCTTTGCTTGTAAGCAGGCCCTGATCAGAGTGCTTCGACCAAGAAACAAACGGCGACATGTGACCCTTCCATCCCCCCCACGCTCCAACACACCTATGGGTATGTTGGCACAGGCTGTATACAAAACTGTGCATGAATGTTTGGCTATTAAAGTTTTTATGGTTTAGTAGCACAAGGCATCAGGGAAATTACAGTTTGGAAAAGGTTTTTAGCTTTTACCATGCCTGCTCTGTGTAGTAAAACAAACTAGATGTCTAAACAAAGAATTAAAAACTCTTGTGAGGCTCCTATGACCACAAGTGGATTCAGTTCTCTAAAATTTGTTTGTTGATTTTCTTTATCAGGAGACAAGGATGATGATGATGACGACGATGCAGATGACAAGATGCAGTCATCAGTGCTGACTGGAGGAGAAGAGGGTAGACAAGAGAGTCAGGAGCAGAGTGAAGTGGACCATGGTGACTTTGAGATGGTGGTGAGCATAGAGGGCCAATTAAGTCTGCAGATTTGACATTACTCCTGCATTGTCTCCATACATTTTAAGAGGAAACATGCGCAAGCATCCCCTGCAGCCATCACACAGAAATAATAAACCATTTAAAGTATAGAATACTAGTCAACCATGTTCTTATTTCCCTGGCATATGAATTAAACCTCAAATATAAATCTTAGTTACAAACCTTTTTCTCTTAAGAGGCATTTTAAAGAAATAAATAACACCTTTTGTTTTTCTGCCTCCTCAGTCAGAGTCCATGGTCCTGGAGACAGCAGAGAATGTCAACAATGGAAATCCATCTCCCCTGGAGGCTTTGCTGGCTGGAGCTGAGGGTTTCCCCCCAATGCTGGACATCCCTCCTGATGCAGATGATGAAACTATGGTAGAGCTGGCCATTGCCCTCAGCCTTCAGCAGGATCAACAAGGTAAATAACCAGAAAATACGAAAATGAAGCAATATTTCTCTGCAGAGACTGCCTGAGAGTCTCACTCCACATATTCTCTCCCTGTCTGTGACGAAACAGTTCTCAACTGTTTAGTACAGACTTGAACCTAAAAATTAGACTGTACAAAGCAGGAAAGAACTGAGCAGCTGATAGCAAATAGTAACACCAACACAATTAACACATTTTAGTAATTTGAAGTAATTTGAGTTTCTTATAGCTGTGACACTTGTCACAAAAGTGAAACTTGCAGTTATTGAAACGCTCCTGCAACTGAATAAAAAATCACTGAATTGTCATGAACATGAATTACCTAAATTTTTTTAAAGTGTAACGTTTCACCTTTTATATCAACCAATTTTAGTATTTTATTATTGTTTACCTCAAATGGGTGACCAAAACTTTATCAGGGTTAGCCTCACTTAGGAGATCAATATTTTGGGTGAGTGCTGCTAACATTATGGACATATTTTTGACGTTTTAGGCAGTAGCAGCAGTGCTCTTGGCCTTCAGAGCCTTGGCCTGTCTGGCCAGGCCCCAAGCTCCTCTTCACTGGATGCTGGCACTCTTTCAGACACCACCGCATCAGGTAACAAGACCACCTCTGTGGTAGTATGTGATCAGCAGGAAGCTAGGTTTTTATATCTGCAAGGTCACAGTGGCTTGTAAATCATTAACAAAAGACATCAAAATATTTTTCTCTTAGCTACAATTTTAGATTAAAATTTAAATAACCTAATCTGTGGCACAACTTGTAGTCTTAGTTCAGTATTTTGAAATTCAAGTGGTTGTTTATCCTCTTTTCAGTGCATCACATTTGCTCAAGTAGGTTGTGAATATATATGATAATACCAACAATAGTTCAACACGAAAAAACATTAATGGCAGATTGCATGCTTTGTTTTGTTGGTGCACAAGTATACACTAAAATCATGTATCCTGGCCAGATGACCGTGGTGTATTTACTGTTACAGCTATTGCTATGATTTCAGCCCCGGCATCAGATGATGAGGGCAGCACAGCTGCTACTGATGGCTCCACACTGCGGACCTCCCCAGCTGAGCATGGTGGCAGTGTGGGCTCAGAGAGTGGAGGTTCTGCAATCGACTCTGTAGCAGGGGAGCACAGTGGTGGGTGATTTCAGAAAAAAACACAACCAAATTCAAGATTGTATTTGTATTTTGTTAGCCTGATATTCAAAATGTTATATATGCATGTCTGAAATTAGTATATATATATATAGTGTCTATAAACTATAGACATCATTTTGTGTAAGTAAAAATAAATCAGTGTTTCCACTTTGTTTATTTTCATTTGTGCGTGCCTGTGTGTGTACAGTGTCAGGACGCAGCAGTGCATATGGGGATACAGCAGTGGAGGGCCACCCTGCAGGCCCAGGCAGTGTCAGCTCCAGCACTGGAGCCATCAGCACCACCACAGCCCAGCAGGAAGGCGAATGCTCAGAGGGAGAAGGAGAGACGGAGGGAGACATCCACACAAGCAACAGGTCAGACCATGACCACGGAGATGAAAGAAATTTAGGAACAAATGTGCTTTTGCCGAGAAATAGATTTTCATCATGAAGAATGCCACATGAAGCCCAATATGGCACAACTCTAATGGCCCAATTTTGTGTTTCCTGTCAGGCTACACATGGTTCGTCTTATGCTACTGGAGCGCTTGCTTCAGCACCTTTCTCAGCTCCACAATGTAGGTGGAGTCCAAGCCATCCCTTACATGCAGGTTATCCTCATGTTGACCTCAGACCTGGATGGCGAGGATGAAAAGGATAAGGGTGCTCTGGATGACCTGCTAGCACAGCTTATTGCTGAGCTTGGCATGCACAAGAAGGTAACCACACTCTCCTTGTGATGAATCAAGCTTAAAAGTGTCATTGTTTTACTTTCCATGTTTACAGTCCATGTTTTTCCTCTGCAGGACGTGTCCAAGAAGAATGAGCGTTGCTCCATCAATGAAGTTCACCTGGTTATCATGAGATTGCTCAGCGTCTTCATGTCTCGAACCAAGTCGGGCTCCAAATCCTCTTCTGAGGTACATCCTCTTTCTTTTCTTAATGCAGTTCTCACTGATTTCACCAAAGGTTACCTGTTAAATGTCTATTGGAATACAGTAATGTCAACAGCAAGTACATAAAAATGTGTGAGGCACCATTTTGAAATGTGTTAAAAAGTCAGACATAATAGTTTGTTCAAAACTACCTTAAAGTACCAGTAAAAGGTTGTTGCATTTCTCACATATAATTTCCTATGTGGCAGAATGTCTCTATGGACAGCTCTTTACTTCTTGATGTCTATTCAAAACTAAGTTACTTGTACATTGTACTACATACCAGGTCCCTCTCCCTCTCTTCCAGTCATCCTCGCTTATTTCGAACGCCACAGCGACTGCCTTGCTCAGCCTGGGTGCTATTGACTACTGTCTCCACGTGCTCAAATCGCTCCTGGAGTTCTGGAAGAGCCAACAGGGTGAAGAAGAGCCTGTGGCCACAAGCCAACTCCTCCGCCCCCACACAGCCTCCTCTCCCCCAGACATGAGCCCTTTCTTCCTGCGCCAATATGTCAAGGTATCGGATAACAGAAAACCTTTTTAATCTTAAAAACTTGAAAAAGGTGTTTTTGGGTTTTTTTTGTACAAAGAATGTTTATGTGAACCTATTATGTTTCTTATCTTATTAGGGACATGCTGCTGATGTGTTTGAAGCCTACTCCCAGCTATTGACTGAAATGGTGCTCCGGCTGCCGTATCAGATCAAGAAGATTGCTGACACCAACCCACGTATCCCACCTCCTGTCTTTGATCATTCCTGGTTCTATTATCTGTCTGAAGTAAGCCATCGAATGTAGTGTGTGATTTTCCTTTTAAATTTTTGTCTACACAAACACATTAATACGTCTCCTTTTTTCTCCTCAGTATCTGATGATCCAACAGACTCCGTTTGTCAGGAGGCAAGTCAGAAAGCTGTTGTTGTTTATCTGCGGTTCAAAGGAAAAATATCGTCAGCTGCGGGATCTGCACACACTTGACTCCCATGTGCGCAGCATCAAGAAGCTCCTGGAGGAGCAGGGCATCTTCCTCCGGGCTGGCGTGGTCACAGCAACGTCTGGCTCAGCTCTACAGTATGACACACTCATCAGTCTGGTGAGTGTCCTCACAGTCTTTAAGACAACTAATACAGAGCTGATTTTGTATGTGGAGTACTGGCTATTTATTGTGTGTATTTCAGATGCACTGTTTCATTGTTTTTTGTCTTAGTAAACTAAGCTAACATATTCTGTGCATAAGGTCCATTGCCCCCATTTGCTAAATTCTTGTCTCTAATGTTCTCTTTCTTTGCTCTGTGATACTGCTGTCAGCTGCTGTAAGGATGGGATTTTTGTATAATTTAAGTATAACTTGCCTCTCTTGGTGCAGATGGAACACCTGAAAGCTTGTGCCGAAATTGCCACTCAGAGGACGATCAACTGGCAGAAGTTCTGCATGAAGGATGACTGTAAGTTGTTTCAGATACATTTTTGTAACTGGAAACAAAAAAACCTTTAAGGTCGGTAGTATTAACATCAATTCTCTTACCACTCCTCTTCCTCCTCATCTGTTTCTCTTCTCTATCCAGCTGTGTTGTACTTCTTGCTCCAGGTCAGCTTCCTTGTAGATGAGGGAGTTTCCCCAGTACTTTTGCAACTGCTCTCCTGTGCCCTGTGTGGCAGTAAGGTACTGGCCACCTCCTCCTCCTCCTCTTCATCATTCTCAGGAGGAGGCTCCTCTAGTGCGGGACAGACGGGGGCTTCTCAGTCCTCTCAGAGCAAGTCTTCCAGTAAAAAGAGCAAAAAAGAAGACAAGGAGAAGGACAAAGAGGGTGAGGCAATGACACAGACTTTCCCATACTTCATACTAATCGTATTGTTCAGAAGACGCACATTGAATAATGGAATAGGCTCGAGCCCCACAATCAACCTGAACAAGATATTTGCGTATCAAAAATGGATAGTAGATGCTAGTGTCCTGACTGTCCTGTATCTTTGTGAACTGACCACAGGTGATGGAGTTGGTAGCCAGGAGGATCAGCTGTGTATGGCTCTGGTCAGTCAGCTTAACAAGTTTGCAGACAAGGAGACCCTCATTCAGTTCTTGCGCTGCTTCCTGCTAGAGTCAAACTCATCTGCTGTGCGCTGGCAAGCCCACTGCTTGGCACTTCATATCTACAGGTACTGTAGACATCTAACACATTCAGACATACACAGGCAGCTTATTTTACGCCCAAACTCAAACCCAAAGTGAGTCTGGTTGATTGCCTCTTTTAAGTCTCTTAAGTAACTTGTGTGATTGAACATAAAGATGTATGAATGATGGAAAGAAACCATAAATAAATCAATAAATGGCAAAATCTCATCATTGGCCTGTGTCTCTCTGTAGGAACTCCAGTAAATCTCAGCAGGAGCTGCTGCTTGAACTGACTTGGGCCATTTGGCCTGAGCTGCCTGCATATGGACGCAAAGCTGCCCAGTTTGTCGACTTGCTTGGATACTTCTCACTCAAAACCCCTCAGACAGAGAAGAAGGTTTGTTTAAAGGCCTCACAGACTATGGTTGTACTAAATTTAGTATAGTAATTGTTAGTCATATCATAAACATCTTTGGCTGTGCATTGATGTAGTTTGACTGTCTTGCCTAAAGAGCCTAGATTTTTCAAAAAACAAATCATTAAAAATTTAGAGAGTGTCGATAATGTAGTTTTCTTACTGGATTTGTAAGCCTTTTCATCATTCAGCAGAACAAAATCGTTGCAATGATAATGTTGCCAGGTCTGTAAAAAAAAAAAGATCGTTTCCCTTTTCTTTTCCAGTTGAAGGAGTATTCCCAGAAAGCTGTGGAAATCCTGAGGGCACAGAACCATATCCTAACGAATCACCCCAACTCCAACATCTACACGTATGTCTACATAAACATGCTATCTTGTAGCCATTTCAAATGGTGGACTGAATAAAAATGGAATGATTTGATGTTTTCTCCTGCAGCACTCTATCTGGTCTAGTAGAGTTTGATGGGTTTTTTTTGGAGAGTGACCCCTGCTTGGTGTGCAACAATCCAGAAGTTCCCTTCTCAGTATGTGCAACACAACTTCACAATCTCTAGCCAAAAAAAACCAAGATATTTACTTAATAGAAATGCTTTTTCACTTGCAAGACCCATCTACAGGCATAAACAGTTCATTTTTGTTTTAAACATAGTTTTGTGTGTCCTCTGTGTGTCCTCCAGAATATAAAACTGTCATCGATCAAAGTGGACACCCGCTACACCACCACTCAACAGGTTGTCAAGCTCATTGGTAGCCATACCATCAGCAAAGTCACAGTTAAGATCGGTGACCTCAAACGCACCAAAATGGTCCGCACCATCAACCTCTACTACAACAACAGGACTGTCCAGGCTATCGTGGAGCTGAAGAACAAGTACGTTTCAACAAAGATTTTTCTCTCTTTCTTTTCACTAATCATTTGACTGTGTAAAGTAACTTAACTTTATTGCCTGTTTTTTTTTTTAGGCCTGCTCGTTGGCACAAAGCCAAGAAGGTTCAGCTGACCCCAGGACAGACAGAAGTGAAGATCGACCTTCCTTTGCCTATTGTCGCATCCAACCTGATGATCGAGTTCTCAGATTTTTATGAGAACTACCAGGCCTCCACCGAGACCCTACAGTGTCCGCGCTGCAGTGCCTCTGTGCCAGCCAACCCTGGGGTGTGTGGCAACTGCGGTGAGAACGTGTATCAGTGCCACAAGTGCAGGTAAGCAGCAGGTTTTCTTCGGAGGTCTGAAAATTTTTAAAGACATTGAAGTTGATTGTATTTTAAATTGATGGTTGTTTTCTGTTAGGTCCATAAACTATGATGAAAAAGACCCCTTCCTGTGCAATGCCTGTGGATTCTGCAAATATGCCCGATTTGACTTCATGCTTTATGCTAAACCGTGCTGTGCTGTGGATCCTATTGAGAATGAGGAAGACAGGAAAAAGGTAAGCAGTCATCTTTGGTAAATACAGGTGAAAAGGAAATTAATGAAAAAGGGGTTTGTGTGGAGGATTGAAGTAGTTTGTCCTGAATTAAGCCTCTATCTCTTCCTACTCATTCACTCTGCATCTCTTAATCTAATATATGTTTGTTTTCCTGCAGGCTGTGACCAACATCAATACCCTGCTGGACAAAGCTGACCGAGTTTACCACCAGCTGATGGGCCACCGGCCCCAGTTGGAGAGCCTCCTGTCTAAAGTCAATGAGGCAGCACCAGAGAAACCACAGGTCAGTCTCAAGACCTCTTTCTGGTATTGGGATGGCAGTGATATATCATGTCCTTTTCAGAAAGCCAGTTTTTTGTCTTATGGGATGTCTTAAGGGATGGGGGCGATCCGATCCTGTATCGGTATCGGGACCGATACCAGCGTAATTCACGTATCGGAATTTCCCGATCCAACCTGCGCAGATTTCCGATATCCATGAGCCATGTCTGCTCTTTAACATTGTCTGCTGAAATGACTCCACAGGTGATCGGTGCATCCCTAGTCTTATTCATTATAATCTATTTTTTTCCCCTCAGGACGACACTGGAGCAGGTGCAGGACTTGGTGCGTCCTCTGCTAATGTGAACAGATACATTCAGCAGCTGGCTCAAGAGTACAGCGGAGACTGCAAGACATCGTTTGATGAACTGTCCAAGATTATACAGGTTAGAGAGGAGAAATGGTTAATTTCCCTAGTATGTGGAATTCTTCTTCTTTTTTTCCCCTTTTTTTTCCTGCTCACATAAATCTGGCCTATTCTCTGTTTACAGAAAGTACTTGCATCTCGTAAAGAGCTCCTGGAGTATGATCTACAACAGAGAGAGGCTGCCACCAAGTCATCCCGCAGCAGCAGCAGCCACCAGCCCACCTTCACTGCCAGTCAGTACCGTGCCCTCTCTGTGCTGGGCTGCGGCCACACTTCCTCAACCAAGTGCTATGGCTGTGCCTCAGCTGTCACAGGCCACTGTATCACACTGCTCCGGGCACTGGCCACTAACCCAGCCCTCCGGCAGATCCTGGTCCTCCAGGGTCTCATCCGTGAGCTGTTTGAGTATAACTTGCGGCGAGGTACAGCAGCCATGAGGGAAGAGGTGCGCCAGCTGGTCTGTCTCCTCACCAGGTATGTCTCCCAGCAGCTACAAAGAATTTTAATTTTTTGTTGATTCTGGCGGCCCCTGTAGTGTAGCGTTTCCACCGCCACTAGTGTTTCTTCCGCCATTTAATTTCCAAATTTGATCCAGTGACAGACATTAAGTAATCCTAAATGTAAATAAGCAATCTTCTCACTGATGGTCTTGTTTGTTTATATAGTTTATATAGTATTGTCAGTATTAAATAGTTTTCTAACCAGTTAAAAACTTCTTATTGCATTTAAGTAGAAAAGTTTAGTAGAGTTGTGGATAACAACCTGAACTCAATACATCATATCAGTATCCCTGCGAGACCAACCTGAACAACCTCTATCAATACTACTGGCAAAGCTAGTGAGACTCTATCAGGCACCGTAAGCCTGGTCGTCCACTAGGGCTATAAAATACCTTGCACAGTCTCTCCTCCATCATCATCTTTTTGCACTTCACATCAACCTGAGTCATGCAGGGCCGTTCCTAATGATTTAACTGTCTGACAAGTTGTGAGCTTGGTCCCTAGGGGCATCACTATCAAGGCTAACAAAGTTGGGACAGTAAAATATCACCCATGCCCAAGTCTGTGTAGATTTTCCTCTCAGAGACAGATATCAAAGGCAGGTGGGGTCAATGATGGGAGAGCCGGGCAGTTGTGGGGGAGCACAGATATGATAAACCCCCTGCCAAGTGTATACGAAGGAAGACCCAGGAGGAGAGACTTTGAAAGGTCTTTTGTATCCCTAAGGGAAGGTGGGGCCTCCCCGACCTGTGACAGTCTCGTTGTTGTTCCTCAGGTTGGTCTCACGAAGATGCAATCCCCACACCCGGGTGTTGTATCTCGTTTCCCTGCCTCAGGGAACATTGGTCCTATGCATAACACGCTGGCACTAGTACTCAATAAGGTGTTGGAATGAAAGCATATACTGTAAGTCTATATTTACTTAGGTGTGTGTGTGTGTATATACAGGGTATTGCAGTTAAATATAATTCTCTCTCTTGTTTCCTTCCATATTTTTGTGCTTCAGAGATCATCCAGAGGCCACTCAACAGATGAATGACCTCATTATCGCCAAAGTGTCAGCTGCCCTCAAAGGCCACTGGGCCAATCCTGACCTGGTACATCCTCTTATCTCTTACTTGAAGCTGAAAAAATTAAGCAAAAGAGGCATTGAAAGAAACATCTGCAGAAAATCAAATTTCTATCTAAACTTAATTGAATAATTAAAATAATTCTACATTTTGATATAAACATAATGTCTTTGTTTTTCCAACAGGTGAGTAATCTACAGTATGAAATGCTGTTGCTGACAGACTCCATTTCAAAAGAGGGAGGATGCTGGGAATTACGGTTGCGTTGTGGTAAGCCTTACTTCCTAATCAATCCTAATTCAAAAGATGGTGCAATTTTAAAAGTCTGTTTCAGATTATCAGCCTGTGGCAATTGGCTTCATGGGCAGTTGTTAATGCCTCAGTCTGATTTACTTTTTTAGATTCCTTACATTGCTATTAAATCCCATTCCTGTGTGTTGTTGCTATTCTGTGTTCTTCTGTGTACAGTATTAGTCTAGCTAATAGACAATATGATGCATCACAATAATATCCTATACATCAACCATCCGCCCAGTTGTCTAATTGTGGTTGAGAGAGAGAGACATTAAGCCTGACATTTTGTCCTATCTTTTGTCTTCACAGCCCTCAGTCTGTTCCTCATGTCGGTGAATATAAAGACACCTGTAGTGGTGGAGAACATCACTCTCATGTGCTTGAGAATCCTGCAAAAGCTGATCAAGCCCCCTGCTCCCACTAGCAAGAAGAACAAGGTAAATGCGCTATAACTTTGCCATTCAGCTACTGCTCTCTCGTGGTTTTCCTTTACCTGTCACTGAATGCCTTTTTATTTGATGAATTGGGAAATGTATTTTACATTCTGTATTTCATTTAAAATACACCAGCTCAGGAAATGTAACAATTACATATACAGTGTCTGTCAGTTACCACTTGGTTGTTTCATGTTCCCTTACACAGCAGTGTGTGTTTGCTTTTGGTTATAGGATGCTGCTGTTGAGTCCCTGACCACAGTCAGGCCCTACAGTAATGAAATCCATGCCCAGGCCCAACTCTGGCTCAAGAAGGACCCCAAAGCCTCCTATGAGGCCTGGAAAAAGTGTCTCCCAGCAAGAGGTAAGTGATGTGTCTGAACAAATATGTAGTATATCAGTGCAGCAAGATGGTTCTCCTATTTCATTGAGTCAAACAATGAAAACTCATCATAATGAGCATTTCACTATTGAGTTTATCTTGCTCACCACAGGCCAGGAGTCTGTGTCAAAGCCTCAGGGGAAGGCTGAGTTGCGAAAGCAGTACCTGTTGGAGAAGTATGTGTGGAAGTGGAAGCAATTCATGAGGTCCAGAAAAGGTGAAGGCCTCTTCCCTCGCCTGCTCAAACTGAGCCATAACAACTGGCTGCGGCAGGTAAAGAAAATATGTTCTTAATTTAATTTACATGCAAGTATTCATGCTCTGCTGGTTGTCCTTATTAGATTCATTTGTATTTTTTGTTAGAAAGCTAATTAGGAGCCAGTTATCATTTTCAGAAGCAGCTTCTTAAAATAAAATTGTTGACCAAATTTATATTTATTGCAGGTCCTTTTCACACCTGCCACTCAGGCAGCGAGACAGGCAGCTTGCACTATTGTGGAGGCTCTAACCACAATCCCCAGCCGCAAGCAACAGGTCCTGGACCTGCTCACCAGGTATGAGCCTCAAACTGAAAACTAGCATGTACTTTTGGATTACTGTAAGATCAATAATAAAAGTTAATATATACAATGTGTTTGTATATAAAATAGTAAATATGTTACCAATAACAAAATAAATGCTATCACAGAAATTGTAATTCAACTGATTGTAATTTCCAAGCAAACCACATGCTTCTTTATTGTTAACCAATGTATCAAGAAGTATGAAAACTGGGCGCCCGGTTAGCTCAGTGGGTAGAGCTGGCGACCCATGTACCGAGGCTGAGTCCTTGCTGCAGCGGTCCAGGGTTTGAATCTGACCTGCGGCCTTTTGCTGCGTATCATCCCCTCTCTCTGTCCCCCTTTCCTGTCTATCTTCAGCTGTTTCTATCATAAAGGCAATAAAAGCCCAAAAAATACTTAAAAAAAAAAAAAAACAAGTATGGAAACTGTTGAAATGATCAAGACAACTTTTTTAACTAATATCTAGAAAAATAAAATGTGGTTGAGCCCAACTTGACCTGACCTGACTTGATGTAAAATGACTCTCTCTGTGTGTCTTTTCAGTTATCTGGACGAGTTGAGTGTAGCTGGAGAGTGTGCAGTGGAGTACCTTGGTCTGTACCAGAAGTTGATCAAGCCAACACACTGGAAGGTTTACCTGGCAGCCCGTGGAGTCCTGCCCTACATTGGTAATCTGATCACCAAGGTAATGGCCATAAAATTCAAAAGAGTAAACTCATTAAATCATTCACTCATTCATTTAAAAGAATAAAATCAGCACTTTTCATAGAATATCTGTATTTCCACTGGTTTTCTGGTTTTAAAATAGTTGAATGAGTTGAAATTAATGAAAATCTGAGCTTAATTTCAAGGACACCGCATTGTGCTTTTTGTACTTTTAATTACATTTAAATGTTTAGTATGCATGCTGATATGCCGGTATCATACTAATACAGTAAATAAAACTGGATCTTCCCTGTTCAGGAAATAGCCAATCTGCTGGCTCTGGAGGAGGCCACACTGAGCACAGACTTGCAGCAAGGCTACGCGCTCAAGAGCTTGACTGGTATGTTTCATCCTTCAGTCTTGTTGTTTGTCTGACCATGAAACTAGACATGACACTGTAGATACTTCTACAACATAAATGATAGATGATTTATACTCCATAAGTAAACTTTAGGCTGATTAATTAGAATTAGTTTGAATGTTGTTTTGATGCCTCTTGTTTGTGTGCGTTTGGTGCCACTGCAGGATTGCTCTCTTCTTTCGTGGAGGTGGAGTCCATTAAGCGACATTTCAAAAGTAGGCTTGTCGGCACAGTGCTCAACGGCTACCTGTGTCTGAGGAAGTTGGTGGTGCAGCGTACCAAACTCATCGATGAGACTCAGGACATGTTGCTCGAGATGCTGGAGGACATGACAACAGGTCTGCACTAACTAACACAAGTCTAACCATTTGCATTTTGGTGTTTTTGTTTACATACTTCTTAACTTACAAGAAAAACTTTAGTCTCGTCATAATTGGAAAGATGCTTAAATGATTTGAATAAGTTGAGTCTTTCATTTCATTGTCCTTTTTCTGCGGGAAAATATAGCTTATATAAAGCCCATTGTATATTGTATGGGTTAAAACCATCAACATTAAATTTTGTTGTCCTGTTAATAGGTACTGAGTCTGAAACCAAAGCCTTCATGGCAGTGTGCATAGAGACTGCAAAGCGGTACAACCTGGATGACTACAGGACACCTGTGTTCATTTTTGAGAGACTGTGCAGCATCATCTATCCAGTGAGTTACCTTTGCCCTGGTGCATTTAATTTATAAAAGTCCTACAGAATAAAGTTTAAAAGTGTAGCTGTGAATGTGTTTTCATCTGTAGTCTTTGTTTCCGCCTTTGTGTTTAGGAAGAGAATGAGGTGACAGAGTTCTTTGTGACCCTGGAGAAGGATCCTCAACAGGAGGACTTCCTGCAGGGCCGCATGCCAGGAAATCCATACAGCAGCAACGAGCCCGGCATTGGCCCTCTAATGAGGGACATCAAGAACAAGATCTGCCAAGACTGTGACCTAGTGGCGCTGCTTGAAGACGACAGTGGCATGGAGGTAAGGGCGGATTTATAGTTCTGTGTAGGCTCTACATTGAGCCTACGCAGTGACCTATGCCTAAGTTTCTTTATGTACTACAAACAATGGCAACGATGTACCCATGCATGGCATCAATTTGCCGCAGAAGTATAAATCAGGCTTATAATTTATATTTTAAGACACTTTTTTTTAAGCTTCCATAAACTGCATACTTCTGCACAATTTATTTATTTAATGCTAGCCTTTATGAAACTCTTCACTCTTTCTCATGAATTCTAAAAGCTGATCTGTTATCTATTAAATGAATGCCACTCTGTTTCCCTCAGCTTCTGGTAAACAACAAAATCATTAGCTTGGATCTGTCTGTGGCAGAGGTCTACAAGAAGGTCTGGTGCCCTACAAATGAGGTGAGCGTCCTCGTGTGTTTGACATTGAATACTTTTTGCATTGGGAATGCCAATTTGTCATTAAATGTATACAGTATTAGTGTAAGTCATGGAGCATTTTTTTTTTTTCTTAAGGGTGAGCCAATGAGAATCATCTATCGAATGAGAGGTCTGCTGGGAGATGCCACTGAGGAGTTCATAGAGTCTCTGGACTCAACCACAGGTTAGATTTACTGTTACTTTACAGTGTGTTAATAATTCTTAGTCAAACATAGCTTGCTCACATGTCTTAATGGAATGGTTTTTGTCCTAAATATCACATATATTAATGCTGCTCACTTATGCGCAAGCCATTATCCTCAAGAACGTGCTCTTTGCTATCACAAGTGTCTGTATTCAGTACCCTCTTGAAAGAGTAATGGAAAAAAAATAATGTCCAATATCTCATCACAACTGAGGTAATAAATGTTTTACCTGACCTTATTACAGATGAGGAGGAGGATGACGAGGAGGTGTACAAGATGGCAGGAGTCATGGCACAGTGTGGAGGACTGGAGTGTATGCTCAACCGGCTGTCTGGAATCAAAGATTTTAAACAAGGAAGACATCTGCTCACTGTAAGCCAACAAAGCCCTTTACAATAAGACTGTGGTCTTTATTCTCTGACCTTTTTAAAGCATACTGTCTTCTGCTTAACGTAAATAATGAAATCGATAATAACTTCATAAATACCAACAGTGGAGCTGCAGAGTTTACAAGTCTCTGTCTCACTCACAGGTTTTGCTGAAGCTGTTCAGTTATTGTGTGAAGGTGAAGATCAATAGGCAGCAGCTGGTCAAACCAGAGATGAACACACTCAATGTCATGCTAGGAACTCTAAATCTGGTGAGCATTACAGTGACTGTGTAACATTGTGTTCCTGATCCTGTTAAGTGGGGATGAGGGTGATTGATGCAGTACAGTTCCATTATCAGAGTTAATTTTAAGTTCCTTTGTAAAACTCAGTTTAAATGTCCTTTTCCCTCCAGGCTTTAGTAGCAGAACAGGAGAGTAAGGACAGCGGTGGAGCCTCCATAGCAGAGCAAGTTCTGAGCATCATGGAGATCATTCTGGACGAAGCCAATGCTGAGATTTCAGAGGACAAGGTAAACATCTAAAGCAGATGCACCCTTCTGAGTAAAGAGGAAACATTATAGAAACCTACAATACCAAAATATTATTAAAGCCTGAAATTTTTAGTTTTTGTTTTAAAACTGTGGCTGGTTTGTCTTTTGCAGGGTAACCTGCTGCTGACAGGAGACAAAGATCAGCTGGTCATGTTGTTAGACCAGATCAACACCCCATTTGTGCGTTCCAATCCCAGCGTGCTGCAGGGTCTGCTGCGCATCATCCCATACCTGTCCTTCGGTGAACTGGAGAAGATGAGGATCTTGGTGGAACGCTTCAAACCGTGTTGCAGCTTTGACAAGTGGGCATCACTCAGCTTTCACTTACAAATGAGCACATATTAGACATTTTTTAAATTGATCATTTTCAGGTCTTTAAATGGATAAAAACACTTTGGCCATTACAAAGAGTTGTTACGTTCAAGCTGTGCTACTCTGAGAACCATACATCTTTGTTTTTGGGAATCAGTTTGTGTCTAAGTAAAACCGACCCCTGGCTTTGTTTTCTAAGGTACGACGAGGAGCACAGTGCAGATGACAAAGTGTTTTTGGACTGTTTCTGTAAAATCGCCGCTGGAATAAAAAATAACAGCAATGGCCACCAGCTGAAGGACCTTATTCTCCAGAAAGGAATCACACAGAGTGCACTGGACTACATGAAGAAACATATCCCAAATGCCAAAAAGTAGGTCTTCTCACAGCTTAAAGTGCCCAAAGAGAGTAATTCAAAACCTTAGACAAAATTAAATATATGTGCTTTTTTTATTTAAACCATTTCCTTCTTCTGAACTCTCTCATTAGTCTGGATGCAGATGTCTGGAAGAAGTTCCTCTCCAGACCAGCTTTACCCTTCATTCTCAGATTGCTCCGTGGTTTGGCTACCCAGCATCCCCCCACACAGGTACTAAATAGTGGAACAGTGGAATACTGATTACTGGGGACAATTCCTGTGTATGCAGGAGTAATTACAAGATGAGCAATTAAAATCTTTGACCCTGTTTGTAAACTCAAACAAACTAGCCAACCTAACAGGATTGGATGTCTTCTTGTCTTCTGTTCAGGTGCTGATAGGCACAGATTCAATAACCAACTTGCACAAGCTGGAGCAGGTATCCAGTGATGAAGGAATCGGCACGTTGGCGGAGAACCTTCTGGAGGCGCTGAGGGAGCACAGTGATGTAAACCTGAAGATTGAAGCAGCCCGCAGGGAGACCAGAGCTGAGAAAAAGCGTATGGCTATGGCCATGAGACAGAAGGCCCTGGGCACATTGGGCATGACAGTACGCTTTACTTCTACTCTTTTATCTAACGTCTCTGTTTTTTTCTGTTCCTTTGTATCTTTGCCTCTGTCACGTTTCATTAACACAGCCCATAGTTATATTGTTGATTTTTGTTTAATGCATGGTTTATTTGTTTGCCTTTCAGACCAACGAGAAGGGTCAGGTGGTGACCAAGACCTCACTGTTAAAGCAAATGGAAGAGCTGATAGAGGAGCCGGGCTTGACCTGCTGTATCTGTAGAGAGGGTTACAAGTTCCAGGTACGCAACTCATCCAGGATTATAAGTGGATACACTTCACAAGTCCCCTTATTTAGTATTTATAATCATTATATAAACATTGACTACATGGTTTATAACACACTACAATGTAGTTGTAAGCAGATGTAAGTGTTAATGTAAGGTATTAATCTATTTGTCAATAACAATAACTTTTTTGTATGAAGTTGGTGATCTTATTGTAGATATTATTGAAACATTCAAGTGGCTGGATGTTATAGATGATGACGAGAGTTGCTCTCCTTAGTTTGAATTAAATTGTATCAGTATCAGCTGCTACTGATATCCTAATTATAGGCAGATAAAATTATATACCAGGTAGCAGAGTAACCCTGTGTGTGATTTGGCAATCTTCTTGTATAGTGAACCAACTCATGGCGTTTTCAATTAACATTTTGGCCCTTGTCCCTCTTATTCCAGCCAACCAAAGTCCTGGGTATCTACACATTCACAAAGCGTGTGGCCTTGGAGGACTTCGAAAACAAGCCTCGCAAGCAGCAGGGCTACAGCACTGTGTCGCACTTTAACATAGTCCACTATGACTGCCATCTGGCAGCTGTCAGGTAGCAACAAACACCATCAATATACCTGCTGATGTACCCTTTTAAAAACGTTCCTGTGTAACCTCACTTTTAGCTTACTCTAACCTGAGCCTTTTTTTTTTGCTTTTCCCCACGTCAGGCTGGCTCGTGGGCGAGAGGAGTGGGAGAGTGCTGCTCTCCAGAACGCCAACACCAAGTGCAATGGGCTGCTTCCTGTGTGGGGGCCACATGTGCCAGAATCAGCCTTCGCTACGTGCTTAGCAAGGTAAAATCATGCATCAACACACACATACTAAATGTTTCCTTCATGTGGCACACAATAAATAATTCCCCACTTTTTCTCTCCGCTCCACAGGCACAACACATATCTGCAGGAGTGTACAGGCCAGCGGGAGCCCACGTACCAGCTCAACATCCATGACACCAAACTGCTGTTCCTCCGCTTTGCTACCGAACAATCGTTCAGCGTGGACACAGGAGGAGGAGGACGAGAGAGCAACATCCACCTCATCCCCTATATCATCCACACTGTGCTCTACGTCCTCAACACGTATGTACCAAACAGAAATTACTCACCAGACATTCAATCTGTACCAGGTGATGAGGTGTAGGGATGACACAAAAACCACAAGTCAGCCTGTTTGACCAATACTCAGCTGGTGACTCGTGTATTTCTCATTCTCATCTCACTTTGCAAACTGTGACACTGCAGTACAAGAGCTACGTCCCGGGAGGAGAAGAACTTGCAGAGTTTCCAGGAGCAGCCATGTGAGAAGTGGGTGGAGAGCTCATACGAGGTTGAAGGACCGCACTATTTCACCATCTTGGGCATGCACGTCATGCCGCCTGAACGCTGGAGGACTTCACGGATATACTTTCTACGAAGACTCCTGGTCAACGCACATGCCCGCAAGGTCTCAGCAGTCTGCACCAACAAGTATGACGCTCAACCTCTTTTTTTTATTTCTCTGTCCCTGTTTGTTTTACAACTGATGCAGCACATTTTTCTACTATATTAGTTAAATCTCTTCATTTTGGATCAAGTTGTAACATCAAATGATCATTTAGTTCTATGATTTTAAGAATGACCACAAACAGCAATAAAAAAGCTGTATTTTAAATGCGTCCCATACCTACATGATAAGATAATACATAACCCATTGCTATTAACCTATTTGGGTTAATTGCATTGTACGCACATAACCATAACCATAGCCATAGTAAATCAAAGGCAGCATGCTGGCTACCATCATATGTTAAGCTAAAGGTCAGTGGTTTGGGCTACTACTTATGGTGCTATCCATTTGTCTCGTAAATCCCCCGCCCGAGTTGCTCTGACGCGAGAACGTGACGTAATTGTCTGGCTTGTACCACTTATAGCGTTCCATTAGTCTTTCGGCATTACGAGTCGGAAAGAACATGGACGCCACCAGTGCAGCAGCTGTGTTGTTATTGCTTGTGGCTCATCTAAACAAGCTCAATGTGAAATAATAATACGTTTTTCTACAGAATCACTAACATTTCAAGTAATTCCGTTATTGCAAGTCTTACATTTCAATAATATTTTGCCATTTTCGCCTATTTCAATTTCAGCAAGTGCTGTGGTGTTTCTCTCGAGCCACCAGGGGCAGTGGCAGGCTAGTGTTATTGTTAGCTACATAAGTTTATTATTATTATTATTATTATTATTATTATTATTATTGTTTAGCAAGCCAGCTCGAAAACAAAACTTTACATTGTATTGCACGCACAGCAACACCATGCAATGCGTAAATTGGTGACCGGACTAAAGCAGCAATGTAAATAAGTGTGTAAGAGCATTTAAAATCGACATTAAAACGACCAACGTAGTACAAATACAAAGAAAATACATTTCAATATTGTATGAATTACCCAACTTTTCCAGTTAATTCTCCTAAATTTCCCATTAATTCCCATAATTTCCCATTAATTCCCATAATTTCCATTAATTCCCCAGCTTATCTTTCCATGGAAAGTTTCCAGAAAGTTTCCGGAAATTTACCATAAAATGTCCACCCCTTTGCAACCCTATGTTTGCGTAAAGCTGAGCTGAGTTACAGAAACCTATATTCAAGAATTTCATATCAAATTTAAAATACTATTTATTTTGAAACAAGATCCTACGTTCATCCTCTTCTTCTCTTTTATTATCAGACTCACAGATAAAGCACCAAAGGAATATGCAGTCTATCGCTCGCCTCTTCTCTTCTGGGGCCTGGTGGATCTTGTCTACGACATGTTCAGGGTAAATGTTTTACTATGTGTATCATACAAACCAATGATATTCTGCTGTGTATATTTTTAGTTTTTTCTGTGGATGCATTGATCGATTGGGCCCTGTTGGTCATATCTTTGTAATCTTGGAAAAGTTGCAGAGACATTTAAGTGTTAAACAAAGGCTTGATAAACAGTCATTTCCAGTTTGGAGACAAAAACTACAGTAACTGACCTCACTGCCTTTTTCTTCCTTTGGGCCACACAGAAAGTACCCACTAGCAACACAGAGGGGGGCTGGTCCTTCTCGCTGGCAGAATATGTCCGTCACAACGACATGCCCATCTACGAGGCCTCAGAGCGCGTGCTCAGGGCCTTCCAGGATGAACTCATGCCCGCCGAGTCCTTGTCAGAGTTCTTTGATGTTGTAGGTCAGTATCACACCTGATTTATTTGGGAAACGGGAGAAGTCTACATCAACCCAACTGATGCAGCTGTTATTTATGACGTGTTGACTCTTGACATTAAATTATTGCCTGGCCTAAGTTTTATTGTTATTGTTGAACTTCACTTCATGTTTCTCTTCCAGGTCTCCTCTCTGAAATCGCAGACCCAGACCTCTTCCTGCAGGATTTGTTGAACTCTTTGCCCTGATGGTCAACCTCACCCCACATCCCTCCAACACACAAACAGCCCTGCAAATAACGTTGGGACACCTACCAACTGAAAAAAAAAAAAAAAGATTTTCTCTTTTTACACACTGACACACATGCTGAGTACACACACAGATTATACACCATGCTTCTTACTCACTTCCCTCCCCCATATTACATCTTCCAATTAACTTTAAGCAGAAACTATGTGTAGTCTAAAAAGATCATCCACTTTGGGCAACATCTCTGTAACGTTTAACACAAAAACACAATGCTGTTAAAGGGTGGGTGGGACACACTAAAACAGAATTCCCGCTTTGGTCGCCTCAGTCTAGAGTTGAGGACATGACTACGTTTCTTGCTAAGCTTGAGACGAGATCTGAGACTCGGCTATTCATTAAACCAGATCATTTTGACTGTTACCGCCAACAAACCTGAATCTTCACCATTTCTTTAAAAGGACATCACAGAATGGCGGGGGAGAGAATTTAATTATTCACAATAAAACAATAATATATGTCCGGATGATGGGAATAACTCGTGAATTCTGTTTTAGGGTGGAAATCCTTTTGGCTTTCAAACCCCCACCCACCCCCCTTTATATTGGGGTGCAATGTTAAGGTAACTAAAAGATTTTTGGGGATTTGACCCACCACGTGTTAAGAGTGGCATTTTAATTTTATCTTGTTTTCCTTTTTGTTTGTTTGGTTTAAGTTGTTTTTGGTCAGGGTTTTTTAAAATGGCAGAAGGTTTCAGTGTCGCAGTTTCGAGCTAACTTTTGCTGTTTGGTCTCCATGTAGGTTCTAACTGGAACAGAAAAAAAGGTTTTTGATTTGTGTGTATGTGTAAGGTTTCTTTTATCGACCTCAGAAGCAAAATGGGGAAAAGAACGATGAATAAAAGTTTGTTTTATTTTTTCCCATAAAGCTATGCCTTTGTGACAAAGTGAACTTTGGACTTGTGAAAGATTCAATCTGTTGCAATGAAATATCAGACCTGTCTAAAATGATAATAAAACAGACCTACATTATATCCTTCAACACTTTTTTCTTTGACTAATTGTTTTGTCATTCAGTTTGTTTTCCTCCCAAAGATTCCCTAAAATCACCGGCAACATTCTTGTGTCAATTCCCAGAACATATTTCTAGAAAGCAAAGTGAGTTTCAGCGATCAATCGAACTTACAGACAGTTAAAATGGAGCTGAATGCATGGTGTGAGTTCACCCGGTTTATTGTAAATTCACCTATTCCCGCTGCTACAATGTTCAACTGTTGCTGAATGTCTGCTTTTTGAATTTAGCCTATGATTAATAAAGCCGTAATAATTCCAAATGTGATCCAAGGTGGTAACCTCTTCTGTTCCAGCTGAAGCTTACACTCTTAAAAAAGATGCATCCATTCCTGTCTACGTTAGAACGGCACATGCATCGATTTTAAGTGTGTAAGAGGTTTTTTTTTATTGCAAATTAGATTTTTATTTTATTAAACGGCAGTGGTTTATTCTTCTGGAGCTTCTCTAAATAAGCAAATATTATCTTAATGATGGTAGTGGAGTGTGTAAACTGTGGTTCCTCAGAGAGTTCAGAGCTGTTACAATTTGACTGTCATATCTTAACTAATACATAGCCTTTTATGGTGTTGGCCTCTGATCACTCCCAGTATCTTCTCGGCCTGCCTCGCTCTGCACTGCTCACAGCTCTCCCAGTAAAGTCAGAAGTCATGAGGAGGATGAGCCCACAGTTGTAGATGGTTATTCTCTGTCACTGAATTGTTTTTCTTTATGTAGAACATTAACAGAAAATCATTGCACTTTCTTCATTATTTGAGATAAACTCAAAGTAACACCTGATATGATTCCTAAGTCACCATTCAGCCTTTGAGCAAGGCATTTAAAGCTTCATAACGTTGTACTGCTACATAACAGGCTCTCCCAGAACCTGATCATGTGAACCCAAAAGCTAAATCGTGTCTCAAACTCTCTGACCTCTGTGTTATAACTTCCTACTTTGGTTCTGGTCTTTCTCCCTCAGTAATGAGACTGGAACAAAAACCTGAAGGACCTTTGGGTCAACAGTTGTAATGGAAACTTTAACCTGTATTTCTGAGGGTTCAGGCAGAAGAGGCTGTTTCTGTGTGGATCATATGAGGTGCAGCTGTATATTGGCCACTAGAGGGTGACACTGATATGTGAGATAAGATAATTGTAGCTCCTTATATTGAATGTTAACTGCAAATCAAATAATATCTCTAATATTATTATTATTACCAAACAGAACACGCTCGGTTTAAGTTTGAAGATAATAATCAGTTTAAACTGGTGTCAGGAAATCATTCTCAACTCAAACTGTACATTGGAAAAATGGAAAAAAAAAACTTTATTTTTAACTTTCATATGAAAGCACATATTGCACATTTCACATTTTACACATTACAACTAGAAATAACATAACTCATGTCGTAAAAACATTTACAAAACAAAGTATGCATTGGCATACACATTTCACCTTCATACAAAGGAATATGGCTTTTAGTTACAAAACCTCGACAACGTGGTCTCACTGACCAGTTTTAAGGAGTATTACATCTTAAGGCACGAATGTGCTTTTTAAGGCCCATTTTGGACCAATGAGATCACAGTGTATATGGTATAAATCTCACTTCTTTTCCACCTTTTCCACTTACTGTGGAGTGAAAACACCCAACAGAAAAAAAAAAAAAGAAAAAAAAAACTGATTTATAGTCCTTTTCCCATCAGAAAAATATTTTCCTTTGGGAACTTCTTCACATTGTGCCTTTGTGTTCAGTGCTACAAAGCTTGCAGGCACACAGTCCCACTCATCCCATCTTATTTCATATTGTCTTCATTGTCTTGTATGTGTGTCCCCTTGTTACTGGCAGCACAGCGGCGCCACGTCCTCAGCTGGCGAGGGGAACAGTCGCATGGCCTGTCTGGAGGATTTGTTGTAGCCATTGTGGAAAATCAAGGCCTTCTTCACAGTGAAGAAGGAGACTGTCTTGTCCCACACGTCGGAGCTGGACACCCCAGTGTTGAGTTGGCTCTCCAGTGCTGAGCGGAGCCTCACTGCTCTGTCTGTGCACTTCCTCTCCAAACTCATCATCTTACACATGCTGAGGAGAAAGAAATATCACATTAATGTTGGATTCACAGAAAAGGTTAGTTTACTTTACAAGAGTTGAACACTTGTGGTATCAAGCCATGCAGACTCTTTAGTTTTCAAATACTGGGCAAATAAAACCCTAACTATCAGGGCCCCCTCACAAAACCGGTATACCAAAACATCCCTGTGACCCCAGAGTGACACTGAATGAGACACAAGTTTAAAGAAAAGAAATGAGCTGAGCTGAGATTTCTCCATTTGAGCTTACGTTGTGTGCTGCTCCCTCATGGTGAATATGCAGTCAGATGGTGTCCACTCAGTCCAGGCCTGTGTCGGGTGCAAGAGGCGTTCAGGGTTATGATTTTACCCACTGAGACGCTCCTCCTTTATATACTTATGCCAACTTTCCCATCGATCTAATGTGATGCTGGTTCTCACAGTGTTTGGCCAATCACAAAGCAGTGTTATGATGACAATAGGATGTGAATGAATTAGTTGAATTCATGGGGTACAATGGCCCCAATCCAAACAAACAGGTGGGAGGGGCCCGTTGCTGGCCTCTTGTCTCTCAGCTGATGCGCCACAACGAAGGAGATATCCCCGTTATTGTATCGACTTGGAGTGATATGTGGTGGGAACATGGAGGGAAAATGTCTGCTGAGAACCTCCTGCATGGAGAAGTCCATTTTACAACACTGTGGACAGATGTTAAGTGTAAAGGTGAATGGCATTAGACCTGAGCTTCCACTTTAAACTCTATAAACCAGAGTAAAAGTAGAAGAAGTTGTGCCTTTAAAGTTCAGTAAAATGTAAAAATCATCCCCGTTATAGTATAAGTTATATGAGCTATAGTTGTGATATAGTTTCTCATATTGTTTTTATTTGTTATATTTGTGTCCTTAATGTAAATCTTTTCCCTGAATCCACTTCTTACAACTTTTATCTCATGCAACTCATGATTTTGAGCTATTTCATTGACAAACTTTGAAAACAAACTTTATCAAACTATCCACAAAGTTTCCCACCCTCCACACACACTCTCACACACACTCCCTATTCTTCTTCTTTAACTTTCTGTCTCTATTTCAGCCTCTCCAATTCTCACGGTGAGCGTCTCCCATGCTTGATTGGCTGACAATAGCGTCCGATCCGTCCAGATGGTGTGCCTGGAAGCCCTGTTGACAGCACTGTGTTCCTGGGTGTGTGTGTTGGGAGGGGGGTTGGTCACTCAATCTTTGTTCGATGGGGCACACTTCCTTTGTGCAGCCAGCCTCAGTGTCATTAACACTGAAGTGTGGGAAGCCTGGGACCACAGCGGCTCCCACGTTCCACACAGGCAGGAAGGGAGCGTGTGACTGAGACGTGGCCAGCGGCAGGCAGGTCAGCCAGCTGTGTGTGTGTGTGTGTGTGTGTGTGTGTGTGTGTGTGTGTGTGTGTGTGTGTGTGTGTGTGTGTGTGTGTGTGTGTGTGTGAGAGTGAGTGTGTGTGGGAGGGAAAGTGAATGAGAGTGTGGCTGTCTGTATGAGTATGTGGGGGGTTTGCCTGATGTGTGAACATGTGCTGGGAGTGTGGAGACTGTTAAGATGTTTACAGTTGAAGCAGTTTTCTTCTCTTAACAGTTCGGATCACCTTCATCCACCGTCAAATTAAAGTGGACAGACTGAACTTCAAAGGCATGACCACCACTGAGTCCTTTTAAAGCAAAATATCCAGTGTTAGTATTGAGTTGATGGCTCAAATGATGATTTTAAAGCACCTGAAACTAATAGAAGCTGTATAATAAGCAAGGAAAATTAGGGAAAACATCCATTATAAACAAATAATATATTTTATATATCACAATATCACTCAAAACTCAGTTGCCTGCATTGGAGTGATTTGATAAGATTTAATGAAGTAAACTCTCATCATTATGCATCCTATATTCTTAAAAGAGAATTATAGTTTATTACAACTTGTAGCTTGCTTAGTTTTGGCAATAACACCTGTCAGTTACGATAAAATAGTACATTCATAAAAAAATGCCTTTTTACACAGGAAAACATCTTGTGAAAGAACCAACATTATTTTCTTAACAGACTCTTGTGGTGTGTGGGCCATAGCAGTCCACACATTCTCTCTTCTTCATCAAGTGCATTTTCTTCAAGTCCCAAAACTTGCAGAGAAGTTATTTTTTGAATAATCTCTGGGATGTCTCAACTGTTGCACAGCTCCGTAAGGAAAGTCTGCCGTGTCAAACTAGTGGAAGTGGCTGCATGTTGGTCTTTTCTAGTGCTTGGCCCTCTGTAACACCCACGTGTGCCTGGTGGTGGAGGCACTTTGTGCTCAATTACGTGGCGGTGGAGATGACATGAGACAGCGGCGTGCTTCCCTCTGGGGTCACCACTTTCCCATATCAACACAAGCGCTGGGTCAGTCTCTGAGCTACACCCCCTCCCCTCATCACTCCCCCCCGCCACCCCACCCCAGCCTCTTTCTCTCACAGTCTATTCCTCCACCTGCTCCCCGGAGACACACTCATTGTCCCCACGGCTATAAACACTTCATTGAGCATGTGGCAGCCCTGCGTTCCTCAAAGCCCTTCCCAGCACTCTCATTGGCCCGGGGACTGTGAGAAACTCCAACAAGCCCAAGACCCACACATTCATATGGAGATTTGGGCGTATAAATACAGGGCAGAGGCAGAGAAGGCAGCTCAGATTCAACTGGCTCTTCAAACCGAGCAGGAACACTCTGACTCTACAGCTATGGCACCCACTGTTTTTGGACAAGCAAGCTTTCCTAAGGAACACCTGACTCCTGCTCATAAGGTAAACTTGAGTTCTATAAAGTCACACAGCTCCCTTGTTGAATTCTCTTCATATCATATGAAAAAGTTTGAATTGTATTCTAAATTATTGTTCTTTTTCTTTTATTCAGCT